GTTGGTTACGTTGTTATTTTTTTTATTTTTATTTTTTATCCTCACCCGAGGACACTTTTTCATTCTTTGTTCAGATAGAGCAGGAGGGAGAGAGAGAGAGAGAAACATCGATGTGAAAGGAACACATCGAGTGGCTGCCACCCGCACGACCAACCAGGGCCGGGGACAAACTGCAACTGAGGCACATGCCCTTAGCGGGAACCGAACCCGGGTCTCTCCGGACCGCAGGCCGACGCTCTAACCGCTGAGCCAAACTGGCCAGGGCTACGTTGTTATTTTTAATTTTTAATTTTTCAATTACAGTTCACATGCAATAGTATATTAGTTTCAGGTATACAGCCCAGTGATTAGACATTATGTAACTTACTAAGTGATCATCTTGATCAATCTGGTACCCATCTGACACTGTACATAGCTATTACAATATTACTGACTATACGCCTTGTGCTGTATTTTAACATCCCTGTGACTATTCTGTTACTACCAGTTTGTGTTTCTTAATCCTTCACCCTTTTCACCCAAGCCTTTACCCTCCCTTCCATCTGGCAACTGTCAAAGAGTTCTCTGTGTCCATGAGTCTGTTTCTGTTCGGCTTGTTCATTGTATTTCGTTTTTTAAGTCTGCTTTTTCTGCTGTAGGTATTGCTACCCAGATTTTGTTTGTTTGTTTCCATTTTCATAAAGTGTCTCTTTCCATCCCTTTATTTTCAGTCTGTGTGTGTCTTTCCAACTGAAATTAGTCTCTTGTAGGCGGGAATATATATGGGTCTTGTTTTCTTATCCATTCAGCCATCATGTGTCTTTTGATTGGCACATTTAATCTATTTGCATTTAAAGTAATTTGTTGATAGATATGTACTTATTGCCATTTTATTATTCACATTTTTATCTCTATTCTTCTTCTTAAAGAAGACCCTTCAACATTCCACATAATACTGGTTTGGTGGTGATGAACTCCTTTAGCTTTTTCTTGTCTGAGAAGCTCTTTATCCGTCCAATTCTAAATGATAGCTTTGCTGGGTACAGTAATCTTGGTTGCAGGTCCTTGCTTTTCATCACTTTGAATATTTCTCACCACTCCCTTCTGGCTGCAAAGTTTTTGTTGAGAAATCAACTGACAGTCTTATGGGAGCTCCCTTGTAAGTAACTAACTGCTTTTCTCTTGCCGCTTTTATGATTCTCTCTTTGTATTTAACCTTTGGCATTGTAACTATGATGTGTGTTGGTGGGCCCCAAAGTTGGGTGGTGAGGGGTCTCAGGGAATCACCAGGGCGAGGCGGACAGTGTGAGCCGGGTGGATGAAGCTTCACTTATGGTGCTCGCCTGCTCTGGGGGGGGAGGCTCAGCAAAGGATCAATGGCCTCTGTCAGCACTGCTGTCTGGGAGAAACCTGTCCCTCCGGCTCTTGCCTTGATGCCAGACAACTCATCTTCTCCTGCATGTCTCTGGTGTCCCAGTGCTGAAACTCAGAATGAATGAGTCCGAGTGAGTCGTGTGTGGGCCCTTTAAGAACTGCTTGGGTCTCCAGAAGCCTCCATCTCACCCAGCCACAACCTGAGCTGGTTTTCACAGCCAGGAGTTATGGGGACTTCTCTTCCTGCAATGAAATCCTGGGCTGGGGGAGTCTGGTGTGGGGCCAGGACACCTTGCTCCACAGGGGTTCCCACAGCTGAGATGTCCCTCCTGGGCTGGGGGAGTCTGGTGTGGGGCCGGGACACCTTGCTCCTCAGGGGTCCCCACAGCTGAGATGTCCCTCCTGGGCTGGGGGAGTCTGGTGTGGGGCTGGGACACCTTGCTCCTCAGGGGTCCCCACAGCTGAGATGTCCCTCCTGGGCTGGGGGAGTCTGGTGTGGGACCAGCCTGTTCTGCTTCTCTATTCCTCCTATCAGTCTCGATGTGTCTTCTTCTACATATCCTTAGTTGTAGGCCTTCTGGTCAGCCAGATTTGAGGCAGTTCTGAATGATGGTTGTTCTGCAGTTTTGTTGTAGTTTTGATGTGGTTGTGGGAGGATTTGAGTACCACATTTAACACTGTTGCTATCTTGACCAGGGTGATTATAACATACATATTTTTTTTTTTTTGATTTATTTTTTATCCTCACCCGAGAACATTTTTTTGGTTTTTGTTCAGATAGAGTGGAAGGGAGAGAGAGAGAGAGAGAAACATCTACGTGAAAGGGACACATCGAGTGGTTGCCACCCACACGACCCAACCAGGGACGGGGACAAACTGCAACCGAGGTACATGCCCTTAGCGGGAACCGAACTCGGGACTCTCTGGTCCGCAGGCCAACGCTCCAACCACTGAGCCAAACAGGCCAGGGCACGATTATAATATTAATACTGATGATCAAATGTATCGGGAATTTGCGTTAAAAGGCTCCGGTTCCCGCCCTACACCAGCTCTGAAGGTTAGGTATATTCATGTTGATAAAGCAACTCTTGCTTTGTTCTATAAAGACTACACCAACCAAATGTCGATGCTCAAACAGGTATGATTGGTTTCATTTAAGGGAGCCATAGCCAAAGACCAAGGGGTTACCCACACCCATACACCATTATCCTTATGGACAGGCCCCGTTCAAGAGGCCGTGGTTGCCCTGGCCGGTTTGGCTCAGCAGTTAGAGCATTGGCCTGCGGTCCAGAGAGACCCGGGTTCAGTTCCCGCTAAGGGCATGTACCTCGGTTGCAGTTTGTCCCCGGCCCTGGTCGGTCGTGCAGATGGCGGCCACTCGATGTGCCTCTTTCGCGTCGATGTTTCTCTCTCTCTCTCTTTCTCTTCCTCTCTCTCCCTCCCACTCTATCTGTGCAAAAAATGGAAAAATGTCCTCGGGTGAGGATAAAAAAAAAAGAGGCCGTGGTTTGTAGTTGTCACTTCTGGGTTCCAAGCCAGCTGGAAGTCAAACCGCTGGTACTTGGCAGCTGGTGCTGAGGACTGATTTCCACTGTGTGCTCTGGCACAGCTGGGCCCACCTCCTTCCTGCGGGAGGGCACAGGTGGTGATCAGGATCGTCCCTGTCCCTGCTCATTGCACGTGGTGGCACGTCTTCTTCGGACCGGTTCTCAGAGCAGGGGCGTCCTCCACGTACAACTCAAGTGCCAGGAGGACTGACGTAGGTTCATGGCCCATAATATTCCCGCGGGAGCAGCTCTTGGAGCCTCAGCAGCCGGGATGGAAGGCCACTGCCCACCGCTACTCTGGCCTCAGTCGGCACTGAGATGTCAAGAGGCCCTTTGGTGAGGGTGCGGACCTCCCCCAGCGCTGGCCCTAGCATCATCCGTCATTAATTGGGCCTTGGCCTGGCGCAGGCTGACTCCCATCTTTTGCTTTTCTCCTGGAAGACAGCTCCTTCCAGTCTGCTTATTCTGGTTACTAACCAGACGTCCTCTGAAGGCCTCCTCCATTAAAAGCAAATTCGGTTTGTTCTGTCTCATGAGCAATGTTGTCCCACCCAACACACGTGCCCCTGTGGACCGAGGCCTGTGTGCAGTTAGGTTTCACGTCTTATATCCAGAAGTGGTAGGTCCCCTCTGGGGTTAGGTAAGAGGTAGTTACACCTCGATGCAATTTATTTGGAAGATGCCATAAGGCCTTTCATCGCCTTCCTCATCTCGGGACACGGTTGTGCCCAGGAGATTCGGGTGTTCCATAGGACGATTCCCACCTTAATCCTATAATGAACTTGTTTTTCTGTTCTGTTTAACAGCTTTCTGTCCACAAGAACAGGGGCGTGTGCATTTGTACACACAAGTACATACATGTACATAGACCACGCCACTGCTGTCTTTTGACTATTAAAATCAGGAACCTAGCCCTGGCCGGTTTGGCTCAGCGGTTAGAGCGTCGGCCTACGGTCCTGAAAGACCCGGGTTCGGTTCCCGCTAAGGGCACATACCTCGGTTGCAGTTTGTCCCCGGCCCTGGTCGGTCGTGCAGGTGGCAGCCACTCGATGTGTTCCTTTCACGTCGATGCTTCTCTCTCTCTCTGTTCCTCTCTCTCCCTCCCACTCTATCTGAACAAAAAATGGAAAAATGCCCTCGGGTGAGGATAAAAAAAAAAAAATCAGGAACCTAGCCCAGCTGCTGTGGCTCAGTGGATTGAGCAGTGTCCCGTGGACTGAGAGGTCCCAGTTCAATTCCTGGTCAGGCCACATGCCCAGGACGTCAGCCACATCCCCAGTGGGGGGCGTGCAGGAGGCAGCTGATCGATGTTTCTATCTCTCTCTCTCCCTTCCTTTCTCTCTAAAATCAATAAAGAAAAAAATAATAATAAATAAAAACAAAAACCCAGACATAGGGGCTTTCATCATTCAATTCTTCCATCACTGCAAAGGAAATAGCACGTCATTCCGCCCACTGAGCTGACTTACTCTTACGTTCGCCAAAGCTTCCCTCGGTCAGAATGAAGTAGCCTTGAAGCAAGGTGCTGTCTGTCCACTTTGGAAGTGCCATTGGCAAACTGAGTAGCTTTTTGTTGGTCCGTGGAGAGCTGTTCACTGGGCACCTCCTGGTGGCTTCTCAGATTCGTCCAAAGTCTCAGCCCTGCAGGAAACGGGGCGGTCTGTTCTTTATGCCTCCTTGCATCCCCCAAGTCGCACGTTCCCGTGGGAAGCGTTTCGAAGTAAGAAGGAACCCCTGGGGCACTGCCACTTTCCCAGCGGGATTCTTCGACATCACCCAAGCACCCTGCAACCGTACACACAATTGGTCCATCCTATTCTAATGTGTCACTGACTAAAGGGATAATCTCATTTTGTCCACCGAGTATGCTACACTGTTTCAGATCAACAAGGAATAAGGAAATTGCTTTGGTCTTTACTGCACTAAGACCCACCTACTTCTCTCAGCCCTGCGCGTCACCACCACCCATAAACCACCACCACACATGCGCACCCACACACGACGCTTGTCCAGTCCAGGGAACAGGCCCCAGACTCTGGCTAGTCTTTCTTCTTCCCTAATGGTGTGGCCTGACCTGCTCATCCCCAATCCTCTCTGCAGCCAGATTTACTGCCACGGGGAGCTTCTGCACCAAGTTCAAATGGCCAAGCTCTACCCGGACGACAAGCAGTTCGTGGACATGTCGCTGACCTCAGCTCCAGGTGAGGCACCGGGGGTCCCCACCTTCTCCTGCCTCTGACCAGGGAGGGGCTCGCGGGGCTCATGGGGATCCCTCCCGCGGCCTGGCCCTCAGGTCAGGTGCTGCAGCACTTCCACGAGCTGGCCAGCACCCACAACCACAGCATCCCCCGGCGGCAGCTGCAGGCGTTCCTCCAGGAACACTTCCGGGCCGTGGGGCAGGAGCTGCAGCCCTGGACGCCCGAGGACTGGAAAGACAGGTGCAGCCCTGGACGGACGGGGGAGGGCTCTGAGACAGGGCAGCCGCCTGAGCCCCGTGAGACCCGTGTCTTTCCAGCCCCCGGTTTCTGCAGAAGATCTCGGACCCCAAGCTGCGTGTGTGGGCAGAGCAGCTGCACCAGCTCTGGAAGAAGCTGGGAAAGAAGGTAAAGGTGCTCAGGTTGGGCCCAGGCGACGGAGCTGAGAGGAATGTGCCAGCCGGGCGTTCGCCCTCCCCCTTGGGCACCGATTGGGATGCATTTCCCGAGAACACGGCCTCCAGTCCCCGGGTCTTTGCACAGAGGCTCTCTAGAAACAGGGTCTGAGAGGGAGCCGGGGAACATCTCCTGACTCCTCACCTCCTCCCTGAAGCCCTCCCAGCCTCCCCCAGGCAAGCCAGGCCTGTCCGGCCACCTCCAGGCGGCCCAGCCCTGTCCCTCACACTGCGTGGTGACTGGTCACCCTCCCGCTGGACTCCCCCCCGCTCCTCAGGCCCGGCCTCTGCTCAGGAGTGACCAGGCTGCTGCTGACTTGGCCCAGCCGCGACCGGCCCAGCCAGGCTCAGGGCCCTGGCTCCTCTGTCTGAGGCTGGTCTGCCCGAGGCACCTGTCCACCCGCCCAGCCCCAGGCCCTGTCCCCACGGCTGAGGGGTGCTCGGGCTCCCTTGCTGCTGTGCCCTGCTTCCTCAGCGGCCCCCGGGAACCCCGCTTCATCCACTGCTCCCCTCAAACCTCTGTGCCACGGAACCACACTCACTCCCCGAACCAGCAGGGAAGGAGCCGAGAAAACACCTGACCCGGACACACAGCGGGACCCCCCACGTTCTGCCTTGCTCTCCCCGGCCACGGTCACCCACATCCACCCCCGGGAAGGGCCTGGGCCAGGGGCCCCAGTCTCTGCGCCTGGCTGGGTGGGGGTAGCAGATTCGGGGTGCCCGGGGCGTGGGGAAGGGTCCCCCACCTGGGCGCTAACACTGCACTGCTCGGTGAGCACCTGCGGCCCGGGGCTGAGTGGCGGCTCCTCCACCCCCCGCACAGCAGGCTCCAGAGGCCGCCCCGGGGCAGCAGGCGAGGCCCCAGCAGCCCGCCCTTGACTGAGGCGCAGGGCTGAGCAGCAGAGCAGGACCCCAGCCCAGCTGCCTGGCTCCAGAGCCCACAGCTGCCAGGGTCTGCCCCTCCCGGACCCTCCCGCTCCTCCCGCCCCTCACAGCCCCTCCCTACCCCTCTCATACCCCTCCCGGCCCCTCCCAGCCCCTCCCAGGACCAGAGTGTGGGAACGGGGCTGGGATCCAGCCTCCTGTGCCCTTTCTTCTGGCCCCAGGTGAAGCCAGAGTTCCTCCAGCACCCTGAACGGTCCTCCCTGATCTACTCACAACACCCCTTCGTGGTGCCCGGCGGGCGCTTTCTCGAGTTCTACTACTGGTGGGCCGCCAGGGGCCGCAGGACGGGAGGGGCGGGGGCCCGGAGCGTGGGGGCAGGGCAGGGGCGGGTGGGGGATGCCTGGCTGGGACCACTGAGCCGCCCTCCCCCAGGGACTCCTACTGGGTGATGGAGGGCCTGCTCCTGTCGGAGATGCCCCAGACGGTGAAGGGCATGCTGCAGAACTTCCTGGACCTGGTGCGAGTGTAAGGAGCCGGGCCCTGAAGGCGGGTGCAGCCCAGCAGGGCCCCGGGCAGGAGCTGGGTCTGCCTGGCCCTGGCGGTGGGGCCGGGCACATCAGCGGGCCTCCCTCTTGGCAGCTATGGGCACGTCCCCAACGGGGCCCGCGTGTACTACCTGCAGCGCAGCCAGCCCCCGCTCCTGACCCTCATGATGGACCGCTATGTGGCTTACACCAACGACACCGCCTTCCTCCGGTGGGCACCCCTCCCGTGCTGCCTGCAGGCTGCCCACACCTCGGACCTCCCAGGGTGGGCGTGGGAGGGTCCTGGCTGAGGCGGTGCCTGGCTCTGCCCCAGGGACAGCGTGGGGGTCCTGGCCTCGGAACTGGACTTCTGGGCCGAGAACAGAAGCATCTCTGTGCTCCTGGGGGAAAGGAGCTACGTCCTGAATCGCTATCATGTCCCTTACGGGGGACCCAGGTGAGGGCGTGGGGGGAACCTCTCACCTCTTCACTCTTGTTTGAGGGTCCCCAGGCCCTGGGCGGGAGGGCCAGTGGATGAAGCCCTCCTCTCAGGGGGGAGACTGTACCCATGGGCAAGCCAGGGTAGCGGGGCTCAGGGTTTGCTGGTCAGCCTGGCTGCACCTCCAGCTTGGCACAGAGGCTCAGAGCGCTAGTGCCAGGCTGCCCACTCTCCTCCTGCCAGACCAGAGTCCTACAGCAAAGATGCCGAGCTGGCGGGCTCCCTGCCAGAAGGTGAGGAGCAGCCCGGGGGGGGGGGGGGGGCGGGGGGGCTGGGGGCCTGCAGCCGGGTCAGGCCCTGGTCCTCTGTCTGCCTGGCGCCTCCTCACAGGGGACCCGGAGGCCTTGTGGGCTGAGCTCAAGGCAGGGGCCGAGTCTGGCTGGGACTTCTCATCACGCTGGCTCGTTGGAGGCCCAGACCCTGACCTGCTCAGCAGCATCCGGACCAGCAAACTTGTGCCTGTCGACCTCAATGCTTTCCTGTGCCAGGCAGAAGAGCTGCTGAGCAACTTCTATGCCAGGCTGGGTGAGCTGGAGGGGAGGAGGGTGTGCCTGTCCAGGTGGGGTCCCTGCCTCGGCCTCGGCCGTGGAGCTGGAGGTGGACCTCGGGGGAAGGCCCAGGCTCAGCTCCTTCCCTCGCCCTAGGCAGCCAGGGCAGGGGTTCAGACAGAGCCCACTCTCCTCTCCACCCCTCCTTTCTTCCTGGGAGGCTGTCTGGGGCCTGTGAAAGACCCCAGTCCCCACATCCAGACTCCCCTCCCTCCTCCTTGGGGCCTCAGAGCTCAGGAATCCACTCGGCAGGGCCCTCCCAAGGATGAGCCCAGGGAACGAGGACAGTACAGGCCATTTGCTCAGGGAAGTCCAGGTCCCAGAGGCCCCCGTGATGGGCTCCAGGTCGCTCTGGCCTGCATGGGGCCCAAGGGCAGGGGCCCTGGTGCTCAGCCTAAAGGCAGTGTCACCCCAGGGAACGACTCCCAAGCCAGAAAGTACAGACGTTTGCGGGACCAGCGCTTGGCTGCCCTGACGGCCGTCCTTTGGGATGAGGAGAAAGGTGCCTGGTTTGACTACGACCTTGAAAACGGAAAGAAGAACCTGGAGTTTTACCCGTCCAACCTCGCTCCTCTCTGGGCCGGCTGCTTCTCCGACCCCAGCGTCGTGGACAAGGCTCTGAGCTACCTGGAGGTAGGGCAGCAGAGCCGCTGGTACCCTGTTATCCGGGGAGCCCCACTGCTCCCCCACACTGAGCAGTGTTCTCTGCAAGGGGCTGGCAGCCACTCTGGTGCCTCAGCCTGCGGCTCCCCTGCAGCCACCAGGGGGCAGCTGTGAGCCCAGGAAGGGACTTGTGGCTTTAGGAGGGTCCAGCCTCCTGGCTCCCCGCCCAGCCCCCACCCGCACTCACAGTGATTCTGGAACATTCCAGGACAGCCAGATCCTGACCTACCAATACGGGATCCCCACCTCCCTCCGGAAGACGGGCCAGCAGTGGGACCTCCCCAACGCCTGGGCCCCCCTACAGGACCTGGTCATCAGAGGTAGGAGGCAGGGGTGGGCACATCCCAGGGCCTCCCCCGAGGATGCAGAGGGTGGGCCTCCCTAGTGCTGGGGGGCTGTGAACAAAGGATGGGGGCCTTTCTCAGCCCCCACTGAGCACACATTCACCTCCGCCACCTGTCAGGGCGCCGGCCCCCGGCCCCCAAACCCAGGCAGGCCCTGGATCACAGCAGGCCCCTGTGGTTCCAGGAAGGAGGTCACAGGGCCGGGCCTCCTTCCCTCCTGGACAAGTCAGGCTCAGGCCTCTGCTCCTCCGGGGATGGGGGCGCTGGAGACTCAGGGTCCTGCCTCGGGGCGGGGTCTAGGCCTCGCCAAGTCCCCGGCACCAAGGGCCCAGGAAGTGGCTTTCCAGCTGGCGCAGAACTGGATCCAGACCACCTTTGCTGTCTACTCCCGAGAGTCGGCCATGTACGAGAAGGTGAGCCGGCCCTGAGCCCGGCCCAGGCCTGCCCCGCCCGACAGGCCCAGGGCAGTGGCGGCACCCAGTGGCTGTCCCCGGCACTGCAGGGCTGAGACCGACTGGAGCGGCTTCTCCCTAAGGGGCTCCCACTGCCTGCCCCCCCAGAGGGCTGGTCAGGGGGCTGGGTCTAGTGCTGACCTGAGAGCTTGTCCTCTGCCCCCAGTATGACATCAGCAACGGCGGACAGCCAGGTGGTGGAGGGGAGTATGAAGTCCAGGTGAGTGGGCCAACTCCCTCAGGGAGTGTGGGTTCTGTCCCCACAGCTGACCATGACCCTCCCCTCTAGGCCTCAGCTCTCCCTGGTGTGTGTGTCCACGGGGAGGAGCCGGGCAGGGCGGTGGCCTCTGGGTAGAGACCCCACACATGCTACAAAGACTTGGGGCCTCCCCCAGAGGTCTTGCCCACTGGCCATGTCTCTCTCCAGGAGGGGTTTGGCTGGACCAACGGCGTGGTCCTGATGCTCCTGGACCGCTACGGCGACCGGCTGCGCTCGGGAGCCCCGACAGCTGTCCTGGAGTTCCAGTGCCTGGCAGCTGCCCTCCTGCTTAGCCTCCTGCCGCAGTGACGGCCTCGCTGCCCTCTGGCCTCCGTCCCTCCTCTGGCTCCAGCTCCCGCCTCATTAAACCTGCGCGCGCGAGTCCTCCTGCCCCTGCCTCTTGTCTCTGTCCCTGGAGACCCCATGCCCTCAGGCCTCCTGCCTGTCCTCAGCCACAGTGGCGGGGGCAGGGTAGGGACCTGGAGGTCCTGGGCTGGGCCCTGGGTCCCTCCCGGAACATTCCAGAAGGTGGAAATCCTACGCTGTGGGGAAGACCAGCCCTCCTGTGTCATGTGCCTCAGCCCAGTGCCCCACACAAGTCGGTCTCCCGGAAACACACTCCAAAGGCTTTATTGTTCTGCTGAGATGCTTACAAATACTGCAAACCGCCCGGCCTGGGCCCAGCACCCACGGCCCAGGCTGGGAGGGGGCGGGGAGGCGGGCTTAGTGTTAAGGCGAGGAGGACTGTGGCCAGACTGCCGAGGCCGGTCCTCCCCTCTCATCTCCATCACCGTCGGCGGCTGGCGGGCCGCGGGACGCCGGGTGTTCTCGGGGAGCAGCCCTCTGTCAGCAGCTCAGCCCGTACAGAAGCCCGAGGAAGGCCCCCCTGGCTTTGCGATCATCCGCGCTGCCCCTCTGGGTGGTACCCTGGCTTCGTCCCTTCTGGCTCTAGGCAAGGCACAAGTGGAAGGGTCATGTTCTGCCAGGTGGGGGCACTGCCCTGCGCACCCCCGGGCACAAGTGGAAGGGAGCCGGCCGGCCGGGGGCCAGCAGGCTGCATCAGGGCCTGGAGACAGGCTGGGGGCAGGGAGGTGTCCGGTCCCTTTTCCCATGAGATGCCCGAGGGCTCGGACTGGAGAGATGGTGGCATGTGCCTTCAGATGGACCATGGCTTTCGCGGCGGCCGAGCCACGGAGCCACGGCAATTAGTATGTAATGGATGCGATGAAGCAGTTACTATGGTGACCGTGGTGTCGGGTCTGCGAAAAGGGGATGGGACTGAGACCCCCAGGACCAAATGGGAGGCCTCTGGCCCTTGAGCGAAGTAATAAAACATAAAGGCAGGAGACAACGGGCCAGGGCAGGGTTTCAGCCACTGCCTGAGCCGTCGCCCCTCGGGGTGCGGCTCTGCTCAGCCCCCGCGGCCCCGGCAAGGGGCTGAGGCGAGAGGGGATCTTTGGCAGATTCTGGTACCGTCACTGGACCCTGAAGGGTTATTGCAAGTTCTGGGCTCCCAGGAGGCTGCAAAGCCCCCTCCCCACCTATGATCTCCTGGCTGGTTCTTGAGGAGACCCGAGCTCCTCCCAGATTGAGCTCCTCACACAACACTGCAAAGTCCTTATACAAAAGCCCCCCGGGGAGGCCTGGGGCCCAGGGTGGGCCCCTCTCCGGTGAGCAGAGCAGCAGGTGGCCAGGCATGGGTGCCGGGGCCAGCCTGAGGGTCCGGGAGGCCCGCGGCGGTCAGTTCATGAACTGCGTGTAGCCCTCAGCGCCGGTGACGATGACGTCCATCCAGATACGCATGGCCTCCGCAGACGGGGCCACCATGTAGTACAGCCGGTCATGGGTCTTCACGCAGAAGGTGAGCGCCGGGTTCGGGCTCTGCAGGGACAACGAGGCTAAGAGGCGCGACCCCGAGGGGCAGAAGCGGTCTCCTGACCGCCCTGCGCCCGTCTGCCCTTCCCCTCCCTGCCTCCAAGATGACCTGCAGCTCAGGGCTGTCCTAAATGGCCGGAACCTCGTTCCCACCAGTCTGGGCCACAGGCTGGGACGTTCTCCTCACACCTGGCAGGCCCTGGACCCTGGCAGGGTCATATTCTGCCAGGTGGGGGCACTGCCCTGGGCACCCCCGGGCACAAAAGAATATCCAAAGAAATCAGACACAAGGGGTTGTTGCTGTGAAGACGAGTTCTCTCTGCCAAAGAGGGGTGGACGGAGAGAGCTACAAGGGGGTGCTGGGCCCCAGGACCAGCAGGAGCAGAGGTCAGGGAGGGAGGATAGCAGAGGGAGGCTGAGGACCAGCCTCAAACATCTCCTGTGCACCAGTCCTCTGCCGACTCTGTCTCCAAGGGCCCCCACTCCCCTTCCGCCACCCCTTCTGCATTGCACAGGGAGACACCCTGCTGGCGTCTCAGGAGAGGGAGACATGGGGCTTCCTGCTCCCAGCCACCCCCGTCCTCTTCCCCAGGCCTGAGGAGAGAGGGGCTCAGGGAGAGCAAAGGTCAGAGGCCAGTGGGGTACAGTACTACGCAATAGTACTGGTGACTGTATAGGGAGGGTGCCTTGGTCACCATGGTGAAGCTGATAAACTTCCGGGAAGGGGAGAGAGAGCGGAGAGAGTTTACAAGGGGAGCAAGGGGGTGGGGCTGAGACAAGAAGCTGGAGACCTTCGCTCCAGAGCCCAGCCCCCCCCCACCCCCCCACCTCACCCCCTCCACCCCCACACTCACCTTGGCCGCACTGCGCAGGTGGTCGTAGTACACCTCCTCGATGGCCTGGAAGTAGATCACCCCCTTCAACTTCGTCTCGTGCTTGTCTGCAAGGGAAAGGAGGGACCGGCTGAGGAGGCCGACATGGAGCGCCCCCATCTGGGCAATGGGAGGATTCCCGGGACCCCAGGACAGAGCCGGGCATCGGTGCCCAGGCTCACTGCAAATCCGAGAACACAAGTCAGAACTCCGCGGAGACACCCCTTCTCCCTGTCAGGGCGTCACAAAGATGCAAACACACAGGACGGCTGGCCAAGTCTGTGCAGAATCGGACGGAGGCCAGTGGCGGTGCAGCCGGCTTTGGGGTAGACTCGGCCGTATCTACCTAAACCGGACAGCGGCGTGGCCCTTGAGCCAACGAGGACACTCGGGGAAATGTGCCGTGTCCGCGTGCAGAAAGGCAGATCCCACGCGCGGCGGCAGTGCTCGGAACCACAAGACTGGACACAACCGTGGCCTCCAGTGGAGACCAGACGATTTCCTCGGGCACCAGGTGGGGACTGGACGGCTGGCACACAGAACAGTGTAGAAACACCTGACATACAGGTTCAGAAATACATCGGTGACATCGATCCCGATATACATGTGTACGCGGACATGTGCGATGTGGAGAGATCTCCAAGATGCATTTTCAAGAGGAGGAGGGAAGCGTTGCCCTCTGGGTGAGACAAGGGTGGGAACACGGTGGCGCTGGTTTCTCCTCCCCTAACGGACACCAGGACACACGGAGCTCAGTGAAAGCGGTCACCCATAGTGGGCGGGCGCACACCCCGTTTGAACCTTTTATGTGTTTTGACTTTGAGCTATATGAATGCATTCACCCGTTCAACTCGGACATTAAAAATGGGAGTGTCTGCCCTGGCCGGTTTGGCTCAGCGGTTAGAGCATCAGCCTGCGGACCAATGAGTCACGGGTTCAATTCTGGTCAAGGGCACGGACCTCAGTTGCCATTCGTCCCTGGCTCTGGTTGGGTCGTGCGGGAGGCAGCCACTCGATGTGTCCCTTTCACCTTGATGTTTCTCTTTCTCTCTCTCTTCCTCTCTCTCCCTCCTAATCTTTCTGAACAAAAACGGAGAAATGTCCTCAGGTGAGGATTAAAAAAAAAAAGAGTGTCGGCACCTGGAGCAGGGAGGCCCCGAGCAGGCGGACAGCAGGGAGGGGAGGCGGGACAAGCCGGCCCTGTCGGGACAGCAGGGCCCCCTCGCTGGAGCCCACACTGCCCAGGCCCTCCAGCTGACACCCTGGACAGCGAGCCCGCGACATGAAGGAAGGACAGAGACAACCAGCCACTGCGCTCAGATGGGGACGCTGGCAGTACGTCCCCTGCTTCTGTGTCATTCCAAGTCACCGACCCTGGGCCACTGCTCCAGCCTCCTAAGGTGCCCGCCCCACTCTCTGCCCCTTAGACTCACTGCCTGAGCCCGGTGAGCCCCCTAAAGCCATCTGATCCTGCCACCTCCGCTCAGCAGCCTCTGCTGGCGCCCCAGGGAACCCGCAGCCTCCTTGGCTTGGCCCGGGCTGTTCACAGGCTGGTGCCGCCACGTCCCTGCCTGGTCCCACCCTCCCTGCACCAGCCCCACGTTCTGTGTGGCCAGGCTGAGCTGCTCCTGTTCCCTTAACCTGTGTTCTGGCCCAGCCAGTGTGGCTCAGTGGTTGAGCGTCGACGTTTCCCTCTCTCTCTCTCTTCCTATCTCTCCCTCCCGCTCTATCTGAACAAAAAAATGGGAAAATGTCCTCGGGTGAGGATAAAAAAAAAAAAGAAAAAGAAAAAGAAAAAAAATCTTAGAAACGAACACAGTGCTTCCCTCAAAGACGATCACGGAGAGGAAATGAGATGGACCCGCGCAGAGTGCTCCGCACAGCGTCCGGTCAGTGTTCAACAGGCGCGACCTGCCCTGTGGGTGCCGTTATCACCGTCACTCCAACAGAGGCAGCGCCCACTCTCAGCATCTGCCGCGGGTCCGCCCATCCTAACCCGTCCCTGTCCCCGGGGCACTTCAACCTCAGCCTGCCCAGCAGGGAGCTCTTCTCCCAGGCCTGTCCCCTCGACCCAGCCCAGGTAAAACACGGCCCCTCCCCCGCCTCTGCCTCTCCTGCCCCTGTGTGTGGTCGGGGGAACTTCCTAGAGGCGGGGGCGGGCGCTTGACGAGGGACAGGTTGAAGGGGAGGCAGGGCGCCCCACTGGGTGTCTCCGGCGTCAGACTCCAGGCCTTTCCTCCCGGGCCCCACACAGGACTGCCGGCCCCCAGCTCTGGGTGGGGGGGGGAGACGGGCGGACAGCGCACTGCGAGCCTGTGGACAAGCCCAGCTGAGGCGTCTGACGTCGATGCCCACTGCCATGCGGCGACACGTTCCCGAAGGCTCGCTCGGAAGCAGAGCCCACAGCCGGCGGCGGGAGGTGGGAAAGTGGAGGCCGGAGCTGCAGGGGTCTCAGGGCGGTGTGTTCCCCGCCCGCGCCTCCGCTGGGGCACGAGGCAGCACCCCAGGTGCCGGGTCCGAGGACCTTCCAGGAAAACTAAGCTGGACACGGGCTGGGGTGAGCCCAGGGGGCAAGGGGGCCGGTGGGTCTGGCCCCACGGTCATCCTGAGCCCCTGGCACTGCTTGTCTTGGGGTCCTGGAGGGAACCTGCCCAAAGGGGGGTCCACGGACTCCGCGCAGCCACCGTATCTGGGTGCCCCTGTGGCACACCCGTCATGCTTTAGGGCTCTGCTCTGTGTCCACCTCCCTGACAAGCTCCAAGGGACAGCGCCGCGGCCGCCTTGCTCACCACTGGCACCCAGAACGGTGCTGCACCGTCTCGGATGCTGAGCAGTTGCTGATACATAAATGGATGGACACAGGCGTGGAGGCGCGCCAGGTACGTGCCGCACATCTTCCGGCCGAGCCCCGCCCCACTGGGAAGCTCGCCCCGTCCAGGTAGCCGGCCGTCCGGACAGAGCGCAGGGCTCGGGCCAGCGGAGTTGTGGGAACTCACCCACGTAATAGGAAAGGGTGCGCTTGAGCCGGTCGAAGACGAACCAGCGCTTCCTCCAAGACTTAATCTTGCCGCCCATCTTGACCAAGTAGCCGCGGCAGACCTGGGGGAGCAGGAGTAAGAAAGGACCCAGAAGCACAGCCTGAAACGCTTCTCCCCTCCCCCTGAGCCCCAGCCCCCGGGCCATCACTTGTGTCTATGTTCGTGGGGAGCTGGCCCCGACATCTCTCTAAGCCAGACCAGTCCTGAGAGAGACCGCTGGCGTTAGGGCAGGAACTGAGGCCACGGAGGGGCCTCTAGCCACGGCCCCGGCGCCCAGGCCACGCACGCTCTACCTTGCTGCTGAGCACCACGTGGAGGCAGGTGTCGACCCCGTGGCCCGATGACTCGATGTGTGTCTTCAGGTCGAAGTCCTCCTTCCGGATGGGCAGGTATCGGGTCAAGGGTCGTGCCTGGGAGCAGAGGATGGGTCTGCAGTCTCCGCTCTTCCCCACCCTTCTCTGTCCCTGCCCCTTGGCTTAAGTCCTGAACCCAACCGGCGGCCCTCACTCCCTCCCCGCCCCAAGGCTGTCACCCCAGGTTCACGGGGCGCGTGTAGAGCTGGGCACGCTGCTGAGTGACCCCACCTATGGCCAAGCACAGCCACACTTTGTGACCTTGCCCCTCCTGTCCCTCCCGGGCTGAACGGAATGAAGCAGGCGGCCAGATGTGAACAGGCTCCGGGAAGAAAAGTCCAGTGAGAAATCTGGCCTCGCCCTGGCCCGTGTGGCTCAGCAGTTAGAGCGTCGGCCCGCAGACCAATGAGTTGCGGGTTCGATTCCAGCCAAGGGCACGGACTTCGGTTGCAGTTTGTCCCCGGCCCTGGTTGGGTCGTGCGGGAAGTGGCCACTCGATGTGTCCCTTTCACGTCGATGTTTCTCTCTCTCTTCCTCTCTCTCCCTCCCACTCTATCTGAACAAAAGTGGAAAAATGTCCTCGGGTGAGGATAAAAACAGAAAGAGAAAGAAACCTGGCCTCTGACTTCCCCTCCCTGGGTCTCAGTGTCCTCATCTGTACAACAGGGCTTTGAACTGTGTGGTCACTAAGGTCCACTCCACCGCACAACGCTAGTACTAACTAAGATCCTCAGTCAGCTGCAGTTTTTCCTACTCTTCCTTTCTGGGAAGAACATGAGAATGAAAAGAAAACATCACAAGTTGTTGTTGTTGTTGTTGTTGTTATTATTATTACTATTCCTCACCCAAGGATATGTTCCCATTGATTGTGAGAGAGAGTGGTAGGAGGGAGAGAAAGAAAGGGAGAGGAACATCAATGTGAGAGAGACACATCGATTGGTTGCCTCCCACGTGACCCTGACCGGGGTCAGGAATCACACCTGAAACCCAGGTACGTGCCCTTGACTGGGAATCGAACCCATGACTCTTCTATCCTCAGGCCGACACTCCAACCACTGAGCCAAACCCACCAGGGCACACAGATTTTTTTTTTTTTTTTAAATCAAAATGCAGCCCTGGCAGCGGTTAGAGCATCGGCCTGCGGTCCTGAGAGGCCCGGGTTCGGTTCCCACTAAGGGCACGTACCTTGGTTGCAGTTTGTCCCCGGCCCTGGTTGGTCGTGCAGGTGGCAGCCACTTGATGTGTCCCTTTCACTTGGATGTTTCTTTCTCTCTCCCTCCCTCCCACTCTGTTTTGTTTTTTTTTTTGTACAGAGTGGGAGGGAGAGAGAGGAAGAGAGAGAGAGAGAGGGAAACATCGATGTGAAAGGGACACATCGAGTGGCTGCCACCCGCACGACCAACCAGGGCCGGGGACAAACTGCAACCGAGGTACATGCCCTTAGCGGGAACCAAACCCGGGTCTCTCGGGACCGCAGGCGGACGCTCTAACTGCTGAGCCAAACTGGCCAGGGCAAAAGTTTTTAAGCTGAGGCATTTCTTTATCCTCACCCGAGGACATTTTTCCATGTTTTGTTCAGATAGAGCGGGAGGGAGAGAGAGGAAGAGAGAGAGAGAGAAACATCGACGTGAAAGGGACACATCGAGCGGCTGCCACCCTCACGACCAACCAGGGCCGGGGACAAACTGAAACTGAGGTACATGCCCTTAGCGGGAACCGAACCTGGGTCTCTCTGGACCGCAGGCCAATGCGCTACTGCTGAGCCAAACCGGCCAGGGCTCCTTCTACCTTTAAATGTTCTGTGCAAGTGTCCTGAGTAAGGGGAAACCCAGGGTTGGTTTGTGTGCAAGGGTGAAGTCCTGGACCAGGGAGAAAGTAGTGCAAAGCTCTCCTGGACGTGTGAACCAACAGTCATAGCCAGGTCACCTGCTGGGGGGGGGCCTGGACCCAGAGGCCAGGTGGAGTGAGGGCCACCACAGCCACGGGGCACCAGGGACAGGAGGTCACTGGGGAAGCGGGGCGGGGGCGCAGCACAGACCCCTGGGAGAGGCCAAGGGAGCCGCTCTGGTGCTTGACTCTCAGCTCCCGTCTCTGAGTCCGCTGCAGACCATCTTCTCTGACCGCAGAGATCAGCAGGGTGCCTGTCATGTCCCAACAACCCACCCACTCTCATCACACACACAGACACAACACACACATGTACACACATATGCACACTCACATATACAGACTCACACATACACACAACACACACACTCACATACACACATGCATACACATACATATACACATGTATACTCACACACATACAACACACACACAGCTACGTGCCCATCTGCACACACACACACACACACTACACACATAAAAACTCATACACCCACATATACACACACATGTACAGGCATACACATACACACAACACACACATACACACATACATACACATGCTCTCTCATGCACACACTCACATGTATACACACATGCACAATATGCATACACACATACACAGTCCACACATGCACACATATACACTCACATATACACATGCAGACTCACATACACATACATATACACACAACACTTGCATACATACACACTCATACACGTGCATACATGCATGCACATATACACATGCACACTGCATGTGTGTGCATGCAAACATACACACGACATATGCTGACATGCAACACATACATGCACACATGTACAGAAGCTCATACACACGATATATACCCATACACATGCATGCACACATTCATGCACATACAAGCTCACACGCATGGCACACTGACACACAACACGCACGTGCACAAATACACATAAACATACACTCACATACAAGCTCATACACATATACACACATGCACACACACACACACACACACACACACACAGAGGCTGGAACAAGCCCCAGTGGGTCTGCTCCTTGGGGCTGAAGGAGTCCCAGGCTGATCTCTGCTCGTGCTGCGTCAGTGACAATCTTCTGCAGGAGAACAGCTCGCACAGCCCGGCAGAGGTGCCGGACGGACCGTCCCTACCCCTCCACAGCCACCCTCTCCCAGTCACCGCCCCCCCAGCCACGCACCTGGGAGAACTGCTTCTCCCGCATCTTGACCTCCTTCTCCACCAGCTGCTGCCTCCTGGCGCTCTCGCTCTGCAGCCTCCGCTCCACCTGCTCCCGCCTGCGCCGCTCCTCCTCCAGGGCTTGGCGCCGGAGCTCGACCTCCTGCTCCCGACCAGAGCCAGGGTCAGTGTCTCCGCTGCCCCCTCCGACCCGGCTCCCCCTCCCAGACAGGGCAGAGCCGCGGGGAGCACCCCTCGGATTGCAGCCTGCCTGAGGAGGCCCCCTCCTCCACACCACCCCTCCAGAGGCCCCGCTGGTAGGGGTACACGTTTCAGGGGAGGGTGCCCTGGCTTCCCAGCCTGCTTGGCCACCAGTGTGGACTGTGGGACTCTGACGACATCAGTGAAACTCCCTAAGCCTCAGTTGCCTCGTCTGTAAAATGGGGCCCAGAGTGCCTACTCCTGCGGTCCCAGTAAAAGTTAACGCCATCTTCATGTGAGTGCCCATCACTGACTCCAGCAGGAAGGAAGCCCTCAGTCAGCGGCGCTCTTGTTGCTTTTACCTGAAGTCCTAAAACATGGGTTCCCTGAGCAACACTTTTGACTGCAAATATAGTCGGTGGCCCTCCCCTAATCACGAAGGCCCTTTGAAACTCCAAATTAGCGTGTTGTGTCTGGGTGTGTGTCCCTAGGGCTCTCACAGGGGTTCAGACCTGGCACCAGAGACGTGGGTACATTTCCCTACCCAACCTAATTTCAGTTTCAGAAACAGCTGTACTGAAACTTCAGATTTTACGGGGGGGAAATGAACTTATGAAAGCCATTATTAAAAGATTTTAAAAGTCATTAAAACAAATCATTAAATACAGAGCATTGCCCTTTTTGTTGTTGTTAATCCTCACCTGAGGATATTTTTTCCATTGATTTTTTTTTTTTTTTTTTAGAGAGAGTAGAACGGAGGGAGGGAGGGAGTGAGGGAGGGAGAGAAACCTCCATGGTGCCTCCTGCAGGCACCCTGACTGGGGCCAGGGATCGAACCTGCAACCCAGGTACATGCCCTTGAGTGGGAATTGAAGCTGCAACCCTTCGGTCCACGGGCCAGCACTCTGACCACTGAGCCACGGCCAGGGCATGAAAATGACCTGTGTTCCATGAACCCACCTGCCATTTCTTCCCAGCTTAAAACTTAGCAAAACTTCCTTTCTCTCCATTTGCCTAGAGACGCTTGTGAATGTGCCCTCCTCCAACATAAGGCTGAAAGGCTGTCTCTTCTGGCTGGTCCAGCTGCTGCCTCCTGTCCCCGGGGTCCACTGCCACCTCAGGACACGCAGAGTGCCCCGACGGTGGGGACAGGGCAGCTTTAACCAAGCCTGTACCTAACCTCCTTCCCAGGCCTGGGTTTCTGTGTTCAGGATAAACCACTGGTCCCTCTTTGGTGTGTCCCGGCGCCAAGCCAACTTGAAGGAGACGTGACTTCTCTCTGCCCCCGCTGCTCCCCAAGGTCCCCCAGCCAACACCTTTTCTCTGGCTTGGCCACCTGCCTTCTCTCCTGTCCCTATTCCTACACCCTCAGTTGCTGCTTTTCCCAACCATCCCCCCCAAGAGGAACGACCGGCCACTCGTGTAGACAAGGATCAAAATTCCCACGATGGCCAAAACATCTGCAGAAATAAACACACACAGACTAGACGTAAACACACACAGACTAGAAGTTCTGCCCTGGCCGGTTTTGCTCAGTGGTTAGAGCGTCGGCCTGCAGACCAATGAGTCTTGGGTTTGATTTCAGCCAAGGGCACGTACCTCGGTTACAGTTCGTCCCCAGCTCTGGTCGGGTCGTGCGGGAGGCAACCAGTCAATGTGGCTCTGTCACATCGATGTTTCTCTCTCTCTCTCCCCCTCCCTCCCACTCTATCTGATGATAAATAGAAAAGTATCCTCAGGTGAGGAATAAAAATAATGACTGTAGCCCTGGCCAGTTTGGCTCAGTGGTTAGAGCGTCAGCCCACAGACCAGAGAGTCCCGGGTTCGGTTCCCACTAAGGGCACGTACTTCGGTTGCCGTTTGTCCCCGGCCCTGGTTGAGGTCGTGTGGGTGGCGACCACTTGATGTGTCCCTCTCACATCGGTGTTTCTCTCTCTCTCTTCCTCCCTCTCTCCCTCTCGTTCTATCTGAAGATTAACGCAAAAATGTCTTCGGGTGAGGATTAAAAAAAAAGACTAGACGTTCCCATACAGGACGTCCATGGCTGGACAATGGCTACTATGTTGCTCCTCTTTCCCCACCAGCTGTGGAGCATGGATGTCACCGGGCCTCCCTACACCCTCTCCCCAAGGGATGTGCAAGGATAATGCGGGAGACGGGGGACAGGCAGAGGGCACCGCCGGGGGCGACCGCCTCGGGCTCTGTGGTCAGACCCGCCTCACCCTCGACTCCATCAGCCGGCTCTTCTCCGCGTGGGCCTCCTTCAGCATCTTCTCCATCTCCTCGATCTTCCCCACGTCCAGGCCGCCGGCGCTGGGGACGGAAGGGGCGGAGTGGGTGCACCAGGGAGCGGAGGGCACGCGGCGGGGGCGCCGGGCACAGCCCGAGGGGCACAGACACGGCACCAGCGGGGCGGGGGCAGGCACCTGGACATGTCGGGGGAGCAGGCCGAGTGCCCCCCGGCGGAGATGCTGGTCTCCATGCTGTCGGAGCTCTCCAGGCTCAGGGTGTCGTAGGCGTGCTCCGCCTCGTCCCCGCGCTCCCGCCCCGCCCCCGCCGGCAGGTGGTGCAGGATGGAGTGGTGCACCAGCAGGGGGAAGCCCGCGGGGCCTGCCAGGAAGGGCGAGGCCCAGTGCAGGGCGTCCCACTGGCACTGAGCCTCGGCGGCTGCTTTCTGCTTCAGCTCGGCCAGTCTCCGCCGCTGCTCCTCAATCACCTGCTGCCCTGCGGGGGGACAGGGGGAGTTACAGGGGCCACCCACCCGAGGCCGTGGGGGGCGCTGCAGCATCACGGAGGGAGGGAGCGAGCAGGGAGAGGTTAGCATAGGGCGCCCACATCGGCCCCATGAGCGCCTCTGAAGCCCCCGCAGCTGCAGGCCCAGCGGCCCTGCCGAAGCGTCTGTCACCGTCCGGCCACAGCTGCAGTCTGGCTTGGGCGCTCCTGCTGCACCCTGAGCCCACACAGGGCACTAAGCCTGCCCAGGTGCATGACGCCTCACAACCCAGGTCTCAGGTGGGGACACATGCACCCACCCTGCTGCTCGGGAAGGGAGGAGGAGGAGACAGAGGGAGCCCGTGAGCACCCAGGTGCAATGCACAGGCAAGAGCAGGGAGGGGACACCAGGCAGAGCACTGAGGCAGGAGACAGCTCAGTTCGAGGAGCGAGGCAGCCGAACACCCCAACCCAGCTCAGCCTGGGGGCCTGCCTACGGGCAGTGGGGGCCTGGACAGAGTACATCATGCAGATGCCTGGGCAGAGGCTGCCGGCCAAAGGAACGTCCTCCATGACCTGCGCTCTACCTGCTGGGTCGTCGGTTGGGAGGGGCTCGGCAGGAAGCGACTCGCCTGCTGTGGGGGACCCCGAGCGGAGGGTAGGGCAGAGAGACACAGAGGGGCGAGAGGAGAGAGAGGCACAGACATGGGCTTTCTAAACAACCAAAATGCACTCAAGCGACAAGGACTTCTGGGTCCCCAGAGCCAATACCTTAGGGAGCCATGTCTGCAGGTCAGGTCCATGCCCTGCCTCCAGCCCAGGCAATGCAGAGCCCTACTCAGGTTGGAAACCACTTCCCTTATGTTCTGGGCTCTCCAGGAAAGAGCCCCCGCCCCTATCCTACAGTCCCTGCCCTTTGATAAATGTCCAGGAAGCTCCCCTTAGGCATCTAATCCAAACCTTTGTGTTGTTGCCTACAGAAACCATCCTGGGAGAGGGGCAGGGATGGGGGGCAGACATCTGGCCCAGGACAGCGGGTGGGCGGGGCCAGGACAGGTGGGCGGGGCCAGGACATCAGGTGGGCGGGGCCAGGACATCAGGTGGGCGGGCCCGGACAGTCAGGGGCGGGGCCAGGGCAGGTGGGCGGGGCGTCCCACTCACCCTTCTGCTGCAGGGCCAGCTGGCGTTTGCTCTCGATGTCCTGCAGCGTGGCTGCCAGGTTGCGAGGGAGGCTGCTGGTGCCGTTCTGGGCGAGCAGGGCGCTCTGGAGGGCAGAACATTGAGACCTTAGGCTCAGAAGACCCCCCACAGGTGGCGTTGGCTTCTCCCCATATGTATCGGCGTCTCATCACCGGACCACCCACCCCCTGCCAGGCACACAGCCACCCCTGTCCTCACACCTTCGGGGAAGGGCTACGGCCCAAGGTAGCCACACTGAGCTGGGAGGAGGAGGAGGAGGAGCCCGAGGAAGAGGGAAGGGGGCCGCTGCAGGTGCGGGGAAGAGGGCTGGTGGCTTCCCCATCCATCTTGGAGCGGTACACCTGCAGGGAAGAGAAGCGGCCTGGTGACCTCCAGCTCCCGCTGTTCCCACGCCCATGCGCCTAGGCTGGCTGTGGTCCAGGGCCCTCGCTGACAACAGCCGTCAGCCGCCGGGGCCAGCCCAGCGGGCAGAAGTTACGGCAGCGGCCGAGCCTCAGGCTGTTCTGTGGACCCACCCTGGTCCAACCCTGCATCTCAGAAAGAACCGTGTGGATGGATTCACTCGAGGAGTTAACACTGGCGGGCAGAGCTGTGCGGAGGACCAGCTGGTGGTTGGTTTCCCTCTGGTCCCCGCTCTGCCACTACCGTGCTGTGTGATCCTGGGCTATGCACTGCCCACCCTGGGCCTCGGATGCTTTACCTACGAAAGGAGTGGGGATGGCGAGGCTAAGCAACGGCCGAGCTCACTCACGGCCTTAACGCTTGGTGAATGGGGTCATTGGAGTCAAAACCCTGACCCCCAGCATAGGCGCTGCTACTTCCTAGGGGTGCGACTTTGGGGAGATTACTTATCTTCTCTGAGCCCCAGTGTTTGATCTGTTAAATATTAACAGTATCTACCCCAAAGGCCTGTGGGGACTAAATGAATCAAAACACGTAAAAATCTCTAGCCAGCTGGGCACAGAGGAGGGTGCCCCGGTGGCATGAGCCAGCTCCTCCCAAGGAGACGTGGAATTCGAGCTCAGGTCAGTCCTAGAGGGGCGGTGACTTCCCTCCGGACTGAATCCGAACCGTGTGGTCTCAGGCGTCATGCTGGTCCATGAGAACCAGGGGCGAGGACACCCAAAGACTCCGCACCGGCACGGTGAACCCGGGCCCTCCACGGACACTCTGAGGACACTCGGGCACATCCTCAGGGTTATCACTTCAAATCTGTGTCACCCTCTGTCCTGCCTCCAAAGGTCGCCCCTGGGAAAACCAGGAGTCAGTGCTGGCAGCTCCCCAGGGCACCCAGGTCTGCTGGCCACCAGCCCCGATGGAGGGAGAAGCTGTGGGCTGCCGGGGACAGAGCAAAGCCTCCGGGCACCAAGCGGACCCCCGCCTGACCACTGCTCCCAAACCCCCTTCCGTGACAGTCAATCCTGTCACCTTTGGGCTCGCGTGATGTACAAAATGCCAGGATGTTGCCCACGAGGAAACCCTCACTGCCACCTCAGGGTCCGGAGGCCCCAAGCTGCCCTGACCCCACCCCACCATCTGGGCGGCCTGTGTGGCAGGAGGTGCCCAGAGCAGAGGAGCAGGGATGCAGAGGGACGGGCAGTGAAGAAGGGGGTTACCTGCAGCTGACGAAAAGCTTTGGTGGGCAGAGGCGGGGGGGAGGAGCGAGGGGAGGCTGCAGTGGGGCCCGTCCCCAGCCCGGCCATCAGCTCCTGGTACCACTGCTCTAAGTCTGCTGCGGGGGACAGCAGCTTCTCCATCTGGAGAGAGCGTGGGGCGGGGACAGGGCACAAGAGGGCGAGGAGGGAGGGGAGACGAGGGGAAGGAGCGGAGGGGGGTGGGGGGAGAAAGGGAAGGTTCAAGGCCCATTCTCAGAGACAGGAAGGTGAGGGAAGCAGGCAGGAAGAAGGTGAGACAGAGCACGAAGAGAAGGAAGAGAAAACAGTCGTCATGAATGTGCCGAGAGCAGAGAGCAACAGGCAGGGCACAACTCCCAGAACATCAACGTGTGCTATGCCAACACGACGCCAGCCAGCCAGGGCCCCAGAGGGAATCACGTGGAGACAGAGCCACACCGGTGGGTAGTGGGCAGGGTGGAGGAACACGGACCACCCACCTCGGGTGAAGGTGCGATAGAAGTGAGGGGGGAGGGCAGCAGAGGAGGCAGGTGGCGGGTGCCAGGTCCTAGGAGGCAGCGGCCCAGAGCGGCGGGCCTGGCACAGGGGCTGTGGGCATGGGCAAGGTGCCCCACACTGCCTTAGCGGCTCCAGCATCACGGGCGTGGGGAAAGGCCAGGACATAGCAGGAACACGAGAGGTTAATGGGACTGGGACCAGGAGATGGGCCTGCCCGTGTGCGGGTGCAGGAAGCACTGCAGGAGGCTTGCACAGCCGGACGCCAGTCCCCTGGGCACAGTGCCCCTGTGCCAGGGCAGAAGCCTCGGGCTGTCAGAGGGCTCCGGAGCCCTGGGGGGAGAGGAAACCACTCCCGACTCCCTATGCCAGTTGCCCTTCTCCTCCGCCGTGGCAGACAAACCCTACTGTTCCCCAACCCCGGCCCGAGGGACAATCGGGGCATCCACCAGACGTCCTCGGGGACAGGTGGGCTCACTCAGTGGCTGGCCCTCACCGACAGGCAGGGCCTGGGTGAGCACGCTGGGGGAGGCAGCACAGCTAGAGAACCTCTGCCCAGCTCAGGCTCCTAGGGTGCCAGTGGGAGGGGAAGAGGGGGCAGAGAAGAGGCTAGCAGGTGTCAACCAGGTACCAAACACCCATACGTCATGCCTTAGAGCCTCACTCCATTCCACACAAAATCTCGAGCAGGGTGGGGGGCTCGACGCCCACTGTAACCACAGATGGCTGTGGGGGGAGCGGGCGCAGAAAGGGGCAGGCGGACCAGGCTCCTCCTGCCCTCCGCTTCTGATGCTGCTGGCCTTGGCATCCAGGCCTTGCCCCGAGCAGACACTGAGGGCCATCCCTGGGTTTTCCCTGGTCCGGGACAGATGAAGAAGCCTAGGGGTGACCTTCCGAGAACCCGCCAAGGACCAGGACCCAGCGCCCAGAGAACTCTTCTGTCTCCAGCAACTTGGGCACCTCCGGCAGGGGCACACACAGGCAGCATCGAACGTCAGTCACACCACTCTCAAGGGTCCCTTTGCACCCCCTCTGTTAGGGCTGGAAGTGGGGGTGAAGACACCTCTAGGGCCTGAGCAAGAGACTCCTTGGCAGGAAGCAGCTGAACACAAAACGGACCCAGTGCCCAAGGGCCGGGACTCGGAAAGATGCTCACACCTTAGCTCGTGGGTTGGGAGGGCTGGCGCTGTCCTTCCCTGAGCATGTCCTTAGAGCCCTGAGCTTATCTAGGTGTTGGGGCACAGCAGGCATCCGCACTGCATGGGGATCAAAGCCCAGGACCCCGAGCCTGCTCTATCCAGGGGAGCCCATTCCAGCCCAGCTCCAGGGGCTGACTGTCCTCCAGGGGTCACAGAAGACGAAAATGCACAGGAGGGACCAGCGTCTGTGAGAACTGACAAATGGCATGCAGAATACATGCACATTAATATGCGAACTGATGCTCTGGTCTTTTACGGGCTGCCCAGGCACCTCCGGCAGCCAGGTGCTCAGTCAAACTCGCAAACTCTGGACAAAGAACTATGGCCACACCCTCGGGGAGAAGCTGCGGGGGGGGGGGGGGGGGGGGGGGGGGGGGGGCTCAGCAGGCAGGCCCTGGCCTGGGCTGAGCAGGAAGTGAGCTGTGATCACCTCTTGCGCTTTGGGGCAGAGCTGAGGGAAAGCAGAAGGGGACAGAGCAGGCGCCAGCCCGAGATGACCCTGGGACCGGGCCCAGAGCCGCAGTCCCCAGCTCCTCCAAGGTGGGCAGCTCAGCCTCCAGAGAGGGTGGGTGGTGAGGGGCCTCCCGGGCACTCAGCCCAGCCCCCGGCCCCGCTCTAAACTGCACTCGCAGTGAGGAAGGAGCTCAGGAAACGGGACAGGTCCTCGCTAGACCTCACACCAGGCTCGCAGACTCAGGAAAGACTGGCTTCGGGGGTCTCGATGCCCACATCCGGACCAAGAGCCTAGTTCTCGTCCAGAGCCCAGGGGCTCCGAGATCAGGACCCTGGATCCTGGGCTCCCCCGAAGGTGAGTCTGCTCAGCCCCGACCTTTTCCAAACCTCGGAATAGCCCGTCCTCCTCACGATGTATTCCGCCCCCCAAAATGGTAAGATCAGTGGGCTCCTGGGAGCCAGCAAGGTAACTACAAAGCAGCAGCTGGGAGCCACTGAGGGTCAAATCCCAGACCTCAGGAGCAGTGTAAATCACATCTCTGTGGTTTGAGAAATGCCCCATGCTGAGTCACAGCCATGGGGTGGAGGAACCACACCACACGTTGCTCCAGAACCTCCCAGGGAGACCGCGGGCCTGAGGCCGGACTGACCGCCCACGTTACCTCTTTGAGAGTCGACGTGGTCTTTGGGAACGGCCTGCCCCCCGTGAGTGAGTGGTATCTTCTCTCCAGCACAGTCAGTTTCTCCTTCTCCTGCAAACCCAAAGTGGCAGAGGCTCAGAAAAAAGTGGGGGGACAGCAAGAGAGGAGGCGTGATGGGGGGATCCTGCACCCCCACCCAGCACCCCCACGCCCAGAGAGCTACCTTCTGCAGCAGCTGCAGGGAGGAGTTCTTGTCTCGGGCCAGGCGCTCTGACTCCTGCACGGCCTGGGCCCGAATCTGCCCCGCCTGACTGTCCAGGACCACCAGGCGCTCCTGGAAGAGATGGGGTGTCCTTCAGTCCCGGGGGAGGCAGGGCTGAGCCCAAGGTGAGGCTTAGCTGTCTCTCCTGCCCAGAGACCCTGCGCTTGAGTGAAGGGGATCAACCAGCTCTTCTCTTGGCCCCAACTCACCCCAGGAAAACAGGCTTCTACAGGTAGCTCCTTCCCAGCCCTCCCACTCCCTTGACCAGTGACCCCTGTGCCACCAGGTACACCAGCCAGAACCCGCTCTCAAAACTCCCTTCCCTGCACTCCTTAGCCAACATGTCCAGCGTCCTGGAGACACGGAGCAGTTCCACCTGCCCCGCGCCCCACGCACCTCCTCTGCCACCACCCCACCCAGGCCCTGCTTCCCCAGCCCGGCCGTCCCCAGCCTCCTGTTTCCGGCTCCCAGCTCTCCGATCGTCCCACACTGCCTCAGATACCTTCCTAAAAGGGCCAGGCTAGATCACTCCTCTCCTGAAACCCTCCCGGGACTCCGCAGCACTCCTGGGATGAAGCAGAAACTCCTAAGCCGGCGTTCGAGGGCCCCCGGAACGGGGTCTCCACTTTTCAGCCCCCCTCCCACCCTGAGCCCGCGTGTTCTCAGCTCGGCTGCTGTACACTCAGCTGTGAAGTTGTACATTCTCAGGCCTTTTTTTTTTTTAATATCGTTTTCTCTTTTTTATTATTATTATTGATTTTAGGGAGGGCGAGAGAGAAAGGGAGAAGGACACACAGAAACATCAATGAGAGAGAACATCGATTGGCCGCCTCCTGCATGCCCCCCACGGGGGATCAGACCCTGGGCATGTGCCCTGACCCGGAATTGAACTGGTGACCTCTTGGTGCAGGGGTCGATGCTCAACCACTGAGTCACACCGGCCGGGCCTCAGACCTTTTTTAAAATTTTTTTTATTTTTTATCCTCACTCGAGGCCATTTTTACATTTTTTGTTCAGATAGAGCGGGAGGGAGAGAGAGGAAGAGAGAGAGAGAGAGAGAGAGAGAGAGAGAGAGAGAGAGAAACATCGATGTGAAAGGGACACATCGAGTGGCTGCCACCCGCACGACCAACCAGCCGGGGACAAACTGCAACCGAGGTACATGCCCTTAGCTGGAACCGAACCCGGGTCTGTCTGGACCACAGGCCGACGCTCTAACCGCTGAGTAAAACCAGCCAGGGTCTCAGGCCTTTTTTAAACTGTTCCTTTGGCCCAGGAGAGCCATCCCTGTCTTCTTCACCCATCAAGAGCTCACTCACCCTCCAAGCCCAGTTCAAAGGCCGCTTTTTCTCTAACATCTTCCTCGATCGCCATCCAATAGCTTTGCTCCTCCTTCTGAGCTCAGATTAGTCTGTTCCCCACTTGCCTTGTATCACTGCTACTTGTGAGTGATGCTTCCACCCCCATCCCCCACCCAGGCTGTCAGATCCAAGGGCAGGGACGGTGCCTTTTCTCTCTCCATATCCCCAGTGGGGCTTAGCACAGTGCCTGGCTCGACCATCATGTGCAAAAAAAATAAGATAACAAGTGAGCCTGGCCAGTATGGCTCAGTGGTTGAGCATTGACCCTGCACCAAGAGGTCGCCGGTTTGATTCCTGGTCAGGGCACATGCCCAGGTTGTGGGCCCGATCCCCAGTGGGGGGCGTGCAGGAGGCGGCCAATCAACATTCTTTCTCATCAGTGTTTCTTTCTCTCTTTCTCCCTTCCTCTCGCTCTAAAATCAATAAAGAAAAAATATATATAGTTTTTTAATCTTCACCCAAGGATATTTTTTACATTAATTTTTAGATAGAGCGGGAGGGAGAGAGGGAGGAAGAGAGAGAGAGAAACATCGATGTGAGAGAGGCACATCAATTGTTTGCACCCGCACAACCCCAACCAGGGCCGGGGACAAAACACAAGTGAGGTACGTGCCCTTGGCCAGAAGCGAACCTGGGACTCTTTAGTCCACGGGTGATACTCTTACCGCTAAGCCATATTGGCCAGGGCAAGAAAAAATATTTTAAAATAATAATAATAATAAATGAGAGAAAAGGACAGGGGCTGGGGTAACCCCAGGAGGGCTTCCTGAAAGAGGGGGCCTTAAACCACCACCCTGAAGAACAAGACATGGGAAGGAGAAACACCTAAATCTGGGGTCAGCCCAAGAAAAGACCAAAGCAGAGGAGGTGGCAATCCGCACAGCAAGGTCTGCTGTTTCCAGTCGTCCGAGAACCTGGGCTGACCCAGGGCCCCAAACCCTGCTAAATGCTTCGCACTTGTAACCTCCTTTAGCCCTCGTGGAGGTGCCTTTGTGCCCGCTTCACTGACAAGAACACGGACGTAGTTAGGAGGTCAAGTGTCTTAGCGAGTAAGAGGTAGAGCGAGGGTTAGAACCAGGTCTGTTGGGCTCCGAAGCCATGCTCTGAACCAGACTAGAGAGGACAGGAAAGCATGGGGACCAGGACAGAGAGGACGCTGGGAGCCGAGAATGAAGCTGAACAAGGCTCACAAGGAGAAGCATGAAACAGAACATGGCCCTGGGTCCCAGTGGCTGAGCTCCAGTTTCCTAGCGGCCTGGGTGGGCGTGGGTAGGAGGGACCAGGAGTCCAGTACTGACGACTCCCAAATGCCCGGCGGTGATGGGGCTGGCTGATCCAAGGCTCCCTGGTGCATCCCTCCAGACGGAAGAGAACCATGCCAGACAAGTGCCAGCCCCCAGCCCCCAGCCCCAGGGCAGTCAAGCGTAGAAGTAACGGGGGCTCCGGGGCCAGGCAGGCCTGGCTTCCAGTTCTGACCCTGCAGCTTATAAGCTGGGAGGTTTGGGGCAATTCTGGTGCTTCTCTGAAGCCTGGTTTCTGGGCGGAAGTGGGTTCACAGAACCCGTACAAAGTCGTGAGACAGTTTATTCTTGTGTTATTTCTTAATTATGGTATCATTTTCCACATTAACAACTGCAAACCTACTGTATATAAAATGGGGTAGGAGCCCTGGCCAGTTTGGCTCAGCGGCTGGAGCGATGGTCTGAGGACCAGAGTCTCAGGTTCGATTCTGGTCAAGGGCATGTGCCTCAGTTTCTGTTCAATCCCAGTCAGGTTGGGGTCAGCGGAAGGCAACCCGTCATGTGTCTCTCACATGGATGTTTCTCTCTCTCTCCCTCCCTCCCACTCTGTCTGAAAAGCAATGGAAAAACATGCTCCGGTGAGGATTCAAAATAATACTAATAAGAATAAACAAATAAAATGGGGAAAGAGTGCTGGGCTTAGGAGACCATCCTAATGTAAGGTGGGCGGGGGACGACACAAGGAACTTCCTGACCACCCCCAAGTGCTTGGGAATTGCCAGCTTCTTCCCGCCTCCGTCTGCAGTGGGCGCATTTGTAAGGCAGAGCAGACAGGGATCTGAACTCGGGGAGAGCCGAGGGCTCCCCACTTACCACCGAACCTAGGCTAGCTCTCAAGCCCCCAACCCACCGCGTTAGGACAACACCCCTGATCTCACTGGCGCCACCTCCCACCCACGCACTCCAGCCGCACAGGCCTGTGAGCCGCGCCCCACTGTCCCCCCCACAGCCCTCCCCCCAGGGCTGCCCTCTCCCTCCGCACACACACTCCTGCGCCACCACCCCCGCTGCTCCGTGAGATCAGAAGCCATCGCAGGAGCTGGGGACAAGCCAGGTGCCAGGGCCAGTCCCCTTGCTGTGCGGCTCCGCGGAGCCAGGGCTGGGACAACGTGGTGCCCCGTCCAGGACCCCCGGCTGGCTCGACCACCCAGACCTCAGGTCTGTGCGTGTCCCAGCGCTTCCGCCCGCGAGCCCTCCAAGCGCAGGGCAAGCCTGCGGCTCAGACCCCTCGCCCTCCGCCCTCCGCCCTCCGCGCCCAGCCGGCCGCTCCCCTCGAAGACGCCCTCGGAGGCAGGGCTTGACCAGCGGCTGCTCCCCAGCGCTCCCTGTGCCCATGTCCCACACTGACTTCACATCATCTGGGTTTATTCCCACCATGGCCTCACTGCTGTGTGTGATGAGGAAACTGAGGCTCAGGAAGGTGAGGTCAACTCGGACTCAAACCCAGGTCACTGGCCTCCAACCGCACCAGCCCCGTGTGGGCGGGCAGCATGGAGGGGCGGGGCAGCAGGGGAGGGGGCGGGGCAGCCGGAGAGGGGGCGGGGCAGCAGGGAAGGGGCGGGGCAGCAGGAGAGGGGACGGGGCAGCAGGGAGGGGCGGAGCAGCAGGGGAGGGGGCGGGGCAGCAGGGAAGGGGCGGGGCAGCAGGAGAGGGGGCGGGGCAGCAGGGAGGGGCGGAGCAGCAGGGGAGGGGGCGGGGCAGGAGAGGGGACGGAACAGCAGGAGAGGGACGGAGCAGCAGGAGAGGGGCGGAGCAGCAGGGAGGGGCGGGACAGCAGGGGAGGGGCGGGGCAGGAGAGGGGACGGAGCAGCAGGAGAGGGGCGGAGCAGCAGGGAGGGGCGGGACAGCAGGGAGGGGCGGGGCAGCAGGGAGGGGCGGGACAGCAGGGGAGGGGGCGGGGCAGGAGAGGGGACGGAGCAGCAGGAGAGGGGCGGAGCAGCAGGGAGGGGCGGAGCAGCAGGGAGGGGCGGGGCAGCAGGGAGGGGCGGAGCAGCAGGGAGGGGCGGGACAGCAGGGGAGGGGGCGGGGCAGGAGAGGGGACGGAGCAGCAGGAGAGGGGCGGAGCAGCAGGGAGGGGCGGAGCAGCAGGGAGGGGCGGGGCAGCAGGGAGGGGCGGGGCAGCAGGGGAGGGGGCGGGGCAGCAGGGAGGGGCGGAGCAGCCGGAGAGGGGGCGGGGCAGCAGGGAAGGGGCGGGGCAGCAGGAGAGGGGGCGGGGCAGGAGAGGGGACGGAGCAGCAGGAGAGGGGCGGAGCAGCAGGGAGGGGCGGGACAGCAGGGGAGGGGGCGGGGCAGGAGAGGGGACGGAGCAGCAGGAGAGGGGCGGAGCAGCAGGGAGGGGAGGAGCAGCAGGGAGGGGCGGGGCAGCAGGGAGGGGCGGGGCAGAAGGGTGGGGCGGCGCAGCAGGGAGGGGCGGGGCAGAAGGGTGGGGCGGGGCAGCGGGGAGGGGCGGGGCACACCTTCCTCTTGCTGATGCTGCGGAGCAGCTCCGCCTGGCTCAGGAGCAGCCCCTGGCTGGCCAGCTCGCGCTCCTCCTCCACGCGGCTCTGCTGCTCCAGCTGCTGGAACTCCAGGTCCTCAAAGAGCCTTGTCTCTGTCTCCAGGGCCTCTGCCTCCTTGAACGACAGTGACAACGGGGGTCGGGTGGTGCTCGAAGTGCCACCCTAGGCCTGGAAGGCCAGGCCACAGAGGTGTGCGTTTGGGGGGCTGGACCCGGGGAGACTGGGGAAGGGACCTGCCCCCATCCGACCCCCTTTCCTCTGCCTGGAGCAGCAGAACGGAGACGAGATCCCCCCATCGTTCCGTCCCCTCCAAACCAAAGCACCGACCCTGGTGTCCTGGCAGGTACTGCAGGGCCCAGGTGGTCCTGTCCCACGCTCTCCTCTCTTCTGGGCAGGTGGCCCTCAGGGCCGGGGAAGGGGGGCTGGTGAAACTGACCCTTCTCAGCTGCTCCTGTAACTGTTCCCGCACTGACTCGGGGCAGTTATCGAGCCGCATCTGGAGCTTGGCGTAGAGCGCCTGGCGGGCCTCCAGGCGCCTCCGTCCCGCGGCCAGCTCTGCCCTCTCCTGGGCGGCGGGAGGGCGAGGGGCGGGCACAGGGGAGAAACAGAACACACACTCCTCAACTCCGGCGGCAGTTCGGGCGATGGGAGGGCAGGGCGGGCGGGCAGAGAACGGGGAGCAGGAGTGGGGGTCGGGGGAAGAGAAAAAAGACAAGTAATAAAAGAACAACCAGAGAAGAAGGAGGAAAGAACAGAAAGGGGAAGTGAGGAGGGAGGAGGAGGAGAGTGGGGGAGACAGGAGCTGAGGTTAGGACAGGGCCGGACGTGCAGGGGTGGTGAGCCAGGGCGGAGGGGAGGAGCCCAGGCAGAAATGTTGGTCTCTTGTAGCCCCTCAAACCAGAAACATTGATGCAGGTCCTGAGAAGAGGCCCTCTGCTTTCCCTTCAAACCAGTCAAAGCCCAATGGGAGCCTCTAGCTCCTGACCTCCCTCTTCCGCTGCCCAGAGACCAAAATTTAACCCTGGGGGAAAGGGTAGATGGTGAGGGTTAAATCCGGGGGTCAGGGTGAATCAGGAGCGGAGGACTTAAAGCCACAGCGATGCAGCGGAGGGGACCCCAGCCCAACCCCTTGGCCTCCCTCCCTCCTGCCCAGGCTGGGGGTGCGGCGGGCACAGCGGGCTGAGCCTCAGAAGGATGAGGGCTGCAATTACTCCAGGCGTTGCCATGGTAACAGGTGCCCCGGGAGTGGGTACAGAGAGGAGGTGGGTGGCTCTGTCTGGGGCGAGATGACACCTCTGAGGCCAGGAAAGGGAGGGGGGAGCTGGTGAGTCACCCACCCTAAGGACAGGCAGAGAAGAAATGGTGACTACTGGTCCCAAAGCCAGAGCGGGGCCCTGGGCCCGGGGCGGGGGGAGGGGCAGCGGAGTGAGACCACCGCCTCAAATGACGGCCCAGAGAGCAGGCAAAGTCCAGGCTGCCCGGCAACACCGGGAACGTGAGGAATTCGGTTAGCAGGTTCCTTCTGAAATGAGCCCCCTGGGAGGAAGACCTAGGCTGAACCCCGCCCCCACCCCTCCTACACGCCTCCCCATCCCTGGAGAGGACATGGCCAGTTCAGTCCTGGGGTACACTACCCTAATACTCCGTGTTCTGGGTGACGGGCTGCAGATGGGAAGAGGCTGCCTATTCCCACCCTCTCTTGCGCTGTCTGAACTTGGAAAAGCCCAAGGGGAAGGCGAGTCCCTGCCCCAGCCCTCCACAAGCCTCCTACCCCTCTGCTCGGGAGGCAGGGGGCAATGGCTGGAGGGCAAGAGGCCTCTCCCTCCAACAGTCTGTGGAAGCAGCGCCCAGACTTTTCCAAACGGGAGGAGCTCTTCAGGCTGAGAAGGGCCTCCTCCAAGCATTCCCCCAACCTCGTACCCATCCTGCCAGTGCGGAGTCTGAGCTGTGCCCCTGGCCCACTCCTTTCTGCTCAAAACCCTGGGGCCCCACAACAAGACGGAAGGCAGCGGCATTAGAGTGGAGAGGCCCAAAGCCGGTGGAGTTAGTGCAAAAGCGGCTCATTCTGCCCGGGGGCACTGACGGTCAGGGCATGCGACAGCCCAGGGCAGTGTGTGGGACAGTGGGGCGGGGGCGTTAGTGCAGGTCTGTTTGGTAAGCATGGAGTTAATCTGGCACAGAATTTGGGAGTGTGGTTTTGGGGGCCAGAGCCAAAGCTCAAAAAAGGGCGAAGTGTCACATGATTTTTAAGAGTTTCCAAATCGAGGGGAAGGAGGAAGATGCTCTCCAAAAAATGGAGAATTAATTCTTGGAAAAATACTGTCAAGTCCAAAAATAGATGGCCCCTCTCCACTCCAGAGCTTTGGGCACGTTGCAGGGCATCCTGGGTGTGGCTGGCACGGCCCCTGTGGGATGGAGAGGCCCCTGCAGGCTGGCATGATATCTGGAAGGGGCAGGGGCAGGCGCTGGGACCATCTGGGATGGGAGGCTGAGATCCTAAAGGCTCAGGGGACGTAGAGACCTGGGGACTATCTCCCAAAGGCACCTCCTGAGCATCTGAGGCCCGCTTGGAGGAAGACACTGTCCAGACGGAGGGGCCCAAACCTGAACCGCTCCCCAGCAACAGTCCCTCGGCTGCGCTCACGGCCCAAGAAGCGGTGTTGGTACTTCCTAGAAGGGCCCAGAATGGCAGGCACCCAGGCACCCAGAATAGCACAGAGGCCCAGACAGAGGAGACCCAGACACCAGCCCGGTCCGAGGTGACCTCCGAGCTGGTACCTTCCCCAGAGGACAGGCCCCTACCCCTGAAGCCACACGGAGACCACCTGGTCTGCAGGTTAGATGGTGAGGCAAGGGGTGAGGGCCCCCAGAGAAGACCTTCTCCTCCTCTCCCAGGCCACTGGTCCCCAGCACCAGCCAGGCCAGGTATGGGTTACCTTGTCCCTCTCCTTTTGGATGCCCGTCTCCAAGGTCACCAGTTTCTCCTGCAGCTGCTCGGCTGCCTTCTGCTCCTTCTGCAGCAGGGCCTGCTCTGCCTCCCTCTCGCCCTGCAGCAGCGCCCGCTCCATCTCAGCCTGGGGGCAACACCGGCCGCGTCAAGGCCAGCCCGCCCCGGGCCTCCTCCGCCTGGGGCCGGTCCTCGGGCTCACCTCTCGGGCTGACTCCTGCAGCTGCTGCTCCAGCTCCTTCACACGCACCTTGAGCTGCTCCACACGCCCCAGCACCTGAGCCCGCTCCTCCTCCAGGGCCAGCACCTCTCCCTGCAGCTTGGCGCCAGGTGCATCTTCGTGCTGGGGGCGGGGAGCCATCAGCTGGGGGCGCTACAGCCTCCAGGACGTGAGTGAGAGGACGGATCCCCACTCCTCAGGGCACCGGGATGGGGCCACCGGGCTGAGACAGGACGCACCCCACCCCCATGAGGAGCATATGGACTCCTTTAAATGGAACAGAAATGTACCCGAGTGCCAGGCCTGGGTGGGGCCCAAGGAAAGGCAGGTCATAAAGCATATTTACAGCCTGGCTAACTCATTAGCACCTCCCTCTCCTCATTTCTACCCTTCTCACCCCTGATCCTTCCCAAACCGAACCCTTCGGTGACTTCGCCCTCACTGGGCCCTGGCATCCCTCACACATGCCTGCCTGCTCTGTGCCCAGCAGGCCCGGCCCAGCCCCTCACTCAGCCCTGGTCCCAGCCCTCATCCCAATCGTCCCAGCCCCCGTCGCAGCCCCTCACTCAGCCCCCGGCCCAGCTCCAGCCCACCTCCTGCTGGGTGCTCTCCGTGCTGCTGCACTCCTCCTTGAGATTCTCCTCGTCCGAGCGGTCCACACTCTCCCACAGGCGCTGGGGGGCGCCTCCAGGCTCCTGGCTGCTCCGCCCAGGGGCCCCGATGGCGCCCGAAAGGCCTCGTGAGGGCCTGCGGCCTGCCAGCGCGGCAGCGGCCTCCCCGATGCTGGGCAGCTCCCCGGCCTCCGGGCCCCCGTCTGCCCGGCTGTACTCCGCACACAGGTTCAGGATGGTCTCCAGGCGCTGCCGTTCCTGGGAGAGCGGACCGAGCGTGAGGGAGGAGGCAGGACGCTGGGAGGGCCGGAGCCAGTGTCTTGTCAGGAGAGGATCTAGGATTCTGGGGGCTTGAGGCTCAGATCAAGTCAGGAGAGCGCCCCCCACCCCGACCTAAGGTGTGAAGAGGCAGAGGGAACGAGGGTGCTCAGGAGAAACCAGGCGGCGGCACCTGGCCACATGGCCAGCTGCTCTGTCTCCCTTCCTGCTTCCCCTTCTCTCCGTCCCGGGCGGGACTCACCCAGACACGCGTGGGAACACTCGGGCAAGCAGACTAAGGGCCGCGAGACGCACAGACACTCAGCTGTGCGCGCTGGCACGGATACACAAAGATCCACGACGGGGGACACAGGCACCCCGCGGACCAGCGCTGACGGAGGAAGGCAGAGCGTGCGCCCTGGGCCTGCCGTAACGGGCAGGAGAACACAAGCCCTCGCCCCGACTCGCACAAGTGCACACCGAGGCACGCTCACGGATAAACACAGCCCCGCTCGGCCGGGGGCACGCACAAGGTTCACACCGGGACGCGGCCAGGGACCGGGACGCCGCCCTCCTCAGGTCCACCTCCACTCGCAGCCGCGCGCAGGCCACCCAGCTCCTCCCCAGCAGGGCGGGCTGCGTGGACGCCCGGGCCACGGAGTGCCCAAGGCCCTGACTCCTCATCCGCCCCTCCCCACACACAGCCCACCGAGTTCCTCCCAGGGCCTCGGATCCAAAGGAAGGAAGGTATAATCACACTTCGGGTCTGTGCCCCCCTTCTCACGCTTAGCTCTCAGGCGTCTGTCACCGTGTGCAGTTGAGCCGTGACCCCCTAGACACTTACCCAGCTTTCCTGCCGTTGCTCGCCCAGTTCCATGGCAAAAGAAAAAAAAAGGGAAAAAAAAGCAGGAACTGCCTGAGCACCTCTGTACCCAGATAAGCAGCCTGGCGGAGGTGGGAGGGGCGGGCAGGCAGCCTCCAACATTTAAAGTGGCAGGTGGGGCAGGCCAGGGCTGGTGAGGAGGCCGGGCCACCCTCTGCCTGGGCCAGACTCCCCGCCCCTGTCCAGGATGCACCCCCAGAGTGGGCTATGCTCTCATCTAGGCAGGAAAGATGGGGTGCTGCCTCATCTCTCCCCACCCGACACACACATACTGCCGGACACCCTCACCTCACCCAAGGCTGCCCCGACCCCTTCTGAAGGGGTCTCCGGACAAACCTCCTCCATTCTGATTCTCCTCAAACCGATCTCAGGGCCCTGTCCCCACCTGGACCCCCCATCCCACGTGCTCACAAGAGAGAAGGCGGAATTCGCATACGTACGCACACACCAGCCAGAGCCCCCCGCGTTCCCTGCGCCATGGGGCAACCCCAACCCACACCAGCGGAGATGCTCTCCCCAGGACAGCTGCCCAGGCACACGTGACCCCAGATGCAGCCAACACAGTCAGTCACACAGGCGGGCCCAGATCAGGCCCGGGCTGCCCACCCTGCCCCCTTCCTCTTCCCTGCCCACCAGTCCCGATGACCCCGCCTGGGCCAGGGGGCAGCTCCACCCGTCTGCAGATGCCGGAGGGAAGCGATAGAGAGGGACCAGGGGCTTCTCTAAAGAACGGGACTTGGGAAGACGGGCACTCGAGTTCCAATCCCAGCTCAGCCACGTGCCGCGACCCAGGAAACACGTCTGCTTTCCGGGCCTCAGCCTGGCCCTCGCGGAGCCTGCTCAGCCCGAGGTGCGAGGCCTCCCCGCAGATGTGGTGTGTTTCCCTCGTGCTCGGTGTGTTAGGGACGAACGCGGACGTGCAGACGTTACAACAAAAGCTGTGTTCGTGCAAAATTAGCGCGGATTTAAAATAAAGCCTCAGAGCCCTGGCCGGTTGGGCTCAGCGGTTAGAGCATCGGCCTGCGGTCCGGAGAGACCCGGGTTCGGTTCCCACTAAGGGCATGTACCTCGGTTGCAGTTTGTCCCCGGCCCTGGTTGGTCGTGCAGGTGGCAGCCACTCGATGTGTCCCTTCACATCGATGTTTCTCTCTCTCTCTCCCTCTCTCTCCCTCCCACTCTATCTGTGCAAAAATTGGAAAAATGCCCTCGGGTGAGGATTAAAAAATAATAATAATAGCCCTGGCCGGTTTGGCTCAGCGGTTGGAGTGTTGGCCTGCGGCGGTCCGGAGAGACCCGGGTTCGGTTCCCGCTAAGGGCACGTACCTCGGTTGCAGTTTGTCCCCGGCCCTGGTTGGTCGTGCAGGTGGCAACCACTCGATGTGTCCCTTCACATCGATGTTTCTCTCTCTCTCTCCCTCTCTCTCCCTCCCACTCTATCTGTGCAAAAATTGGAAAAATGCCCTCGGGTGAGGATTAAAAAATAATAATAATAGCCCTGGCTGGTTTGGCTCAGCGGTTGGAGTGTTGGCCTGCGGCGGTCCGGAGAGACCCGGGTTCGGTTCCCGCTAAGGGCACGTACCTCGGTTGCAGTTTGTCCCCGGCCCTGGTTGGTCGTGCGGGTGGCAGCCACTCGATGTGTCCCTTTCACATCGATGTTTCTCTCTCTCTCTCTCTCTTCCTCTATCTCCCTCCCGCTCTATCTGAACAAAAAATGGAAAAATGTCCTCGGGTGAGGATAAAAAAAATAAATAAAAATAAAAAAAATAATAATAATAAGTAAATAAATAAATAAATAAATAAAAGAAAGTCTCAGAAACTTCGGAGCCAGTTCTTCGCCTAGACACCCGAACCCTGAGGTACTGGTCCCCACGGAGCCTCCTGGACGAGCCTGAGAAGCCCAGGCCCCGGCCGCGGGCCCCCATCTGCCAGCTGGCCGGCCACATGCTGCCAGAGCCCGCAGGGGTCCGCAGCCCCCCGGCCCCCGCTCACCAGCCTCTCCATCTCCTGCTCCCGCAGCCGCTCTTGGTGCTGCCGCCGGTGGTACTCCAGGAGGTCGTCCTCGTTGTCGCTGATCTCCGTGATGCTGTTTTTCCGCTCTCGGGGGACAGGCACTTGCAAGTCCCCGCTGGAGAGCTTCCTCTGGGCCCGGGGGCTCTGTCGGGGCAGGGCCCCAGTCAAAGAGCCCAGACTGTAGGCTGGACTCAGCCTGCCGCTGAAGCTGCCCTTGCGGGGTGCGAGGGACTCCCCGAGTGTGGGCGAGGGGCTCCGCGTCCTCCGGCCTCGAGTCCCCAGGGTCAAGGAGAAGTCCTCTGGGGAAGCCCCGTGGGCTGCCCAGCGCCGGGGCCGGGGGCTCTCTGCCACGTCCCTGGTTAGCTTGGGGTCCGGGGTGGTCCGGGAGGGCATGGGGGACAGAGCCCGTCTGGACAGAGACGGGCTCAGAGGAGGCAGTTCCCGCATGCTGTCCAGGCCCCGCCGGCTCGGGCGGGGGCTCTCCGAAGGCTGCAGCGTGCGGCCGGCCGGCCCGTCTGAAAATGTTCGGCCCACCAGCTGGCGTGAGGGGCCGGGGGTCAGCTCCCGGAACGGGCTGGGAGGGCGGTCCTGAAGTGTGCCGATCTTGTTTCGGGGAGCGGGGACCGGAGGCTGCTGGAACTTGGGGCTGCCAGGAATGCTGGGGGGTTGGCCGTGGGCACTGGAGGCTGGGTATTCACTCAGGCTGATGGCCACCACAGGCAGCTGCCCGCCCAGCCAGGGGCTGTCAGCGGTTCTGCCGGCCTCTGCCAGCACCGTAGGTGCCGGGCTGTCCGTCAGCAGGCCCCGGAGGCCGGGGCTGGGCGGCCTCTCGTGCCCCGACTTCCTGCCCAGCCGGGGGCTCTCGGAGGCACGGGCACCAGCAGGCCGGGGCTGTGGGGGCTGCAGGGCCAGATGGTAACTGGAGGAACGAGCGGGCACCAGGGGCGGTACAGAAGGTGCCGGCTCCTGGCCGCTAGGTGAGTGGCTGGCACAGCTCCCGCTGCTGGCTGGCGAGGAGAGCGGAGAGAAGGCGGGAGAGGTGTTCTCGTAGCTGGAGCCCACGGACATGGCACCGGGGCTGGTGGGGGGGGACAGCAGGTACCGACCCCCGTTAGCCACGGGCGACAGGGGGGAGGCGGCGGCCGGCTTCCTAACAGCCGCACCGGGCTCCTCTAGCACCAGGGAGTCCATGATCTCCTGCAAGTCCTTCTCGATAGAGCTCACCAGGGAACTGTGGCTGGCGTAGGCCGAGGGTCCCTGGGCCGCAGGCTGTGGGGTGTGGTTCCCGTTCACCAGACTTTCTGATTCTGCTCAAGGGAGACGCAAAGATGCCTCAGGTCCTGGGCTGTGACTCTGGGGAGGTTCGGGGGCGCCAGAGCAGAGGAACCCCGCCTCTTCCCAGCAGAGCTGGGTTGCAAGGACCCCAGAGAAGCCAGGAGATCTGGGGTCCAGTGCCAGCAGGGCCGCTAACCTGCTGTGCACCCTTACCCACGTCACTTGTCCTCAGTTTCCCCTTCTGTAAGGAAGAGGATGGGTAGGAACCTTCTGGCTCTGACCTTCTGACTTAGGACAGAGTTAGCTAGAACGCCAGGCACTCCAGGCCTGGTAGTTGCCTGCTCACCCCAAGACTAGGCTCCTCCCTGCCTTGGTTTCCCCAACCTCCTAAATCTCTCCTCGGGAAGGCAGGTGGACATTCTGCAGAAGGGCAGGGGGCACACTATGGAGCTGACGCACGGTCCAGGAGGGGCCCCAGTCTAGCAGGACAGGGGCTACCAGCAAAGCAGCCAAGACCAGGAGAAAACACACACAGCCTCCCAGGCTAAAGGAGGGCGGGGCTGCACCACGTTGTCCAATCAGAGGGCAGGGAGGGGCCTGGCACTGCCCACTTGTTCCTGGAAGCCAGGCTGACCAGCAACCAGGTGCAGTTCAGTGCCCCGAGGAGCCCGCCAGGCCACTCCAGGGAGAGCCTGCCCCACCTGTGCCCGCCCCAGCCCTGGTGAGCCAGCCGGAGTAGCTGGAACCACTGCCCCAGACAGCTGAGGGACGGGCCTGGCAAGGCCAGGATGGGCAGGGTAAAACCAACCAGGGAGTGGACCGGGAGCCCAGGCATCTGAGCCCCCAAGGGGCTGAAAAAGTCTGGGGGTGGAGGAGACAGAAAATCTTTACAAGGCTGATTTGGGCCCTGGCTGGTTCGGCTCAGCGGTTAGAGCATCGGCCCACGGACAAGAGACCCGGGTTTGGTTCCCGCTAAAGGCACGTACCTCAGTTGCGGTTTGTCCCCGGCCCCGGTTGGGGTCGTGTGGGTGGCAGCCAGTCGATGTGTCTCTCTCACATGGATGTTTCTCTCTCTCGCTCTATCTGAAGATAAATGCAAAAATGTCCTCAGGTGGGAATAGGAAAAATAAACAGAGTTTGGGTCCAAAATTATAAAGACTGTGTAGGACCACAGTCAGAGGGGTCACCATGGACACTGGTCATCCCAGTGACCACCCGTCTTTCTTCAGATGCCCAGACTACCCATTTAAGCCCCTGACGTCACCCCACTGGGTGTACCTGGTGTACTGTCCCCCCTGTCCCCACACCATGCTGACACCTGCCATCCCACAGCCCGTGTGAAGTCGGGATGGCGGGCCCACTGGCAGCTTCTGGCCTGCACCCCAACCCCCAGGCAGCTGGACTGAGGGGAGCGGTGCTGGTTCCTCGGGACAGTCACCCACCGTCCTCTGGGGATCAATAATTCACACAAACTGCAGCTGTTCCAATGAGTCATCAACTGGCAGAGCATGGCCCGGGGTGGACGGGACCAGCAGCAGGTGGGACCCACCAGAGCCTACATGATCAGCCTAGTGCTGCCTTCTGCCCGCTCAGGCCACCGGCGACAGCAAGACTCCCCGGTGGTGACAAGGAGGGTCAGGGTCCCAGACACTAGGTGACCTCTTCCAGGGCAGCGGGATGCAGGCCGGCAGAGCCTCCATCTCTCGGGCTCACGCTCTCCCAGGTCCAGGCACTCCTTGGACTTCTCCCAGTGCCCGAATGCCCTGGCAGGGGGCAGCGGGCCCAGACCGTGGGTGATGCCTTGTCCGGACACTACACGTGTGGCAGGAGTGGGCGAGGAAGAGGACTCTCCGGGGGTACTACCAACCCACCCTCCTGCCCCAACTGGGCACCTACCTGGGCTCGGACTGTAGGGGGGCCCCGGGGCCCGGCCCCCTGCCGGAATCATGCTTTTCATCCACTTGGCTTCAGCCGGGTGATTAAAGCGGAGGAAGGTGGACTGACCCAGGCACAACATGCAGCCTTCGGGGAGAGAAAACGCTTGGCACGACGGGCAGGGCTAAAGCAACTGCACCCCGCCAGCAGGCTCACCCCGGCCCCAGAGCCGCCCCACCTGCACTCACACCGTCCACACCACCCACGCCTGCCCCACCTGTGCTGAGAAAGGCACCGAGGACAAGAGCGCAGAGCGAGTGGACAGAGCACTGGTGTGAGTCTCCAGACCCAAGTCCTAGTCCTAACTCTCTTTCCAGGTGAGGCCACCACCCGCCCCGAGTCCGGTTTCCCCTTTAGAGAAACAAGGGCAGTAGCACTGACCCTGCAGATAAGACCGTGCCTGCCAGAGTGCCCCGGGAGAGCACACGCCCTTGCCCCCGGCCCCGCGAGGACCCATGCCCCTCGGGTGGAAGGGGAGTCTGAGAGGCAGCAACTTCCAGGATCACAAACAACTCTGAGCCGGGAGACAGGGTGAAACTGTGATGCCCCTGGGGGACCAGAGTGCCTCCCGACTCCAGCAGTGGGAGTGGCCGCCTCCTGTCTCTCCGACAACGCACCCTCTGGCCTGATATCCTCCTGCTCCCCTGGAACGGAGCCAGGCCCAGGCCAATGGCCCAGCCTCAGCCAAGCACATTCCCAGGCAATAGACACAAGCCCAGTCCTGCCCAGGAAGTGCGGATGCACGGAAAGGGGAGGGCCTGCGGGAGCCAGACAACGTAGCCAGGGGCACCGGAGTGTGCGCACGGTAGGTGTGCCCACAGGTGCCTCAGCCTGGCTGACAGGGCTCCTCCTCCTGGCCACACAGGTGCCAGAGCGCTCCTGCAAGAGAAGCTGTGTTTGGGGGAGCCAGCGACCTGGTGCTCCCTACCACCCACACTTCCATTTGTTCACGCCCCTGGCCCTGGTCCCCGCTGCCTATCTACCCAATCTGGTGCCACTTGGCACCCCAAGCTTCATGCCAGTCTGAGCTAAGACTGGCAGGGAAATCTACATTCCTGGACGCTGAGACAGTGCAGGCCACAAGGGCATGGGGCATCCCAGGCCACAAGGGTACCTTCGCGTCCCCCCACTGAGAAGCCTGTTGCTGGAACCCAGGGCATTGCCATGGGGGTGGGGAGACCTAGCAGACCGAAAGGGCAGAGCAGATAACCACAGTGGACAGAGCCACCCCCCTCTTCGGCACACCCACAGGCCCCCCTCGGCAGGCGGGCACCAAGGCCCTGAAGGCGAATGGGCGGTTAGGAGAGGGAGAGCCTTCCTTGCCAAGCTGCCAGTCAGAGGAGCTGACCCCCGAGGAATCATCACCAGAATAAATAATAGCCAAGTATCCACTCCCCAAATTACAACCACAGCTGTTTCAGAAAGAGCCCTGCCAGGCTTCCTCCTCGTCAGCCAGGCCCCAGGGTCCACACAGGCCCACTCAGTCCTAGGGTGCTCGCCCCCCCGTGCCAGGCCCCACCAAGGAGGAGGTGGGCACCTAGAGGCCCTCAGCCTTGCCCCCTCCTCTGCCCTCACCCTCCTCCACACAGGGGGTGTGCCATGCAGCCGCTGGACTATAAATAGGGATGCCAGGCGGCAGAGCTGGGTCTGTATTAATAGAGTGGGCAGGAGGGCAGTAGGTCTAAGAGCAGCCCAGCCCCTGCCCAAATTAACTTTCTATTTGCACTCAGGGGCCCCAGGAATCGCCCCAACTTTAGTCCCAGGCCGCTGGGGGCTCGGGCAGCCTATTTCTGGGAAGAAAGCTCCTCTCTGCCCACTCCTGCCCCACCTCCCCCAAAGGTCAGCCCACTCGGGGAAGCCAAGAACCCTTCTCATGCAGGCAAAGTTGTGGTCAGTGCCCCCACCAAGGGGCTGGGGGCCCAGTGCATGCGCTCGGGCGGGAGAGCTGTACATCTGGAGAGAAAATAAAACAGGGCGAAGGAGAGGGCGGACCCTGTCTCTCCGGGAGCTGCAGAGGGGAAACCACACGCGCACACACTCTCACACCCACTGCCACGGGCACTGCCCTGCTGGCCACGTAAATAGAAGGGCTGGCGGAGGGAGGCTGAGGGAGGGAGGAAGGAGGGCCGGGGCTCCATCAGAGACCCCTCTTAGCCACAGCGCAGCCCCTGCCCCCAACCCTCCCACTGCACACGGCTGTCCCGCTGCGCCGGGTTGGGGAGCTGGAGTCGCCCCCCAGCAGTGGCCGAGCCCAGACTCCCACTCGGAACGGCAGGCTCACGCCTAACGGAGGTTCACAGCCGCCGGCTCCCAGAGGCCCAGGCCCCTTCCCCGTCTCCCACGCGGGCCCTCCCGGGGCGAGCTCTCCGGCCGGGGCTGCACGGCTCGGGCTGGACTCACCGCGCACCGGGACCTCCGGACGCGGCCCCAGCTCGAAGCTCCAGGTCCCCGCGCCCCGGCCGTGGGGCCCCTCCCGCCGCGCTCGGGGCGCTCGGGGCGCAGGGCGGCGCAGCGCGGAGCCGCCACCAAGCCGGGAGGGGCGACCGGCCACCAGCGTGGGGGCAGGGAGCCAGGGGGAGGGACAAAGGAGCGGAGGAGGGAAGAGGAAGTGATGGAGGAGAGGAGAGGGGAGCAGGATGGAGAGGCGGGGCGGGAGGATGCGGGAGGGATTCCGGGGCCGGAGCAGAAGCGGGGTGAGGGCAAGGTCGGGGGTGACCCTGGGAAAGCTGAGCGGCCAACCGGGCCCGGCCCGAGGGGAGAGAGCCAGGAGGCAAGCCCCGAGAGTGGGGTCTCGCTGCGAGCCCTCTGGGTAGGCGCCGGACGCCTGGATGGGGCCAGCCCCGCCCTGCCTGCCTGGTCCGGGCACCCTCCGACCTGTGCACCGGCTGGGGAGCCTGGCCCGGGCAGCAGCAGGTTGCGCCGAGCCGCGGGCGCACGTGTCAGGGGGCGGAGACCGGGCTCCCGGGGCTCCCGTTACGCACTGGGCCCCCTCCGGCCCTCCGTCTGCACGGTGCCCCCTCCCTCCCGGCTGGAGTTCAGGCGAGGCCGTGCTCTGCAGTGTGAGCAGCCCTGAGCCCAGCTCCTATCCCCTCCTTCTGAGGCCCCTGCTGCCCACACACCCAGGCCCTGCCCCTCCTAAGCCAGCCCACTTCCCTAGCCCCGCCCACCCACAACCACCCGGGGTCCTGGCACCCCTGGAGTACCCTTCCCATCTGGGAAACAGGCCGCTGCAGCCCCTGGGGCGGCTGAGGTTGGCCCGGGCCAGCACCTACCACCCAGCCTGGGCCAGGGTTCCGCTTGGTCCAGGGCCTGGCGCTGGACAGCAGAACCTGAAGGGACACTTTCCTCAGACACACCTGACACGCTCAGGCTCACACAGCCCACACGCCTCCTGGCTGATTCACGGCAACAAGTGCCCAGTGACACACCACCTGTGAGCTGTGCACACGGACCACTCACGCTCCAGCAAACATGCCCTGTCTCTCTCTCACACATCGGTCTCCCACGATCCAGGGCACCAGCCCCCTTGGTTACACACTCACTCAGTCCCTGGAGACCCCAAAATCCAAAGCAACCCCCTCAGAGGTCCTCCAGCCGTGTCCCTGCCCTTGCTGGTCACCCACCCGCACGGTCAGACCACTCACAGGCTCGCACACACAGCCACCACACACCCACCGTGCACCTGTCCTCTGCCCCTCTGAAGGGAAAGGGAAGGACCATATAGGGTCAGATGCAAAACAGGGGAAGCCTTTTAAAAAAACCTACTCAGGAAAAGTGAGTCATCGGTCTGGAAACCGGTGGCCAGCGGCACAGACCCAGACAGACAGGTCGCCCTCGGGGGAAACAGGAGGCAGGCAGGCTCCAGAGGGGAGCTGGGAGCCTTTACTTTTTCTCCTCTTCCTTCCAGGGTCATGAGTCCAGATCTCTAGCGGTCCCTAGAGGACAGGTGGACATTTCTCTGCCAGCCTACGGAAGCAGGAACTGACAACTGGGTGGAGGGGAAAAGGCTGGGTGCCCTGGGTCCCAGAGGGGCGCAGCTGGATAACCAGGAATCCGGCTCCCCATGTCCGGAGAACCTGCCGTGCTGGCCCTCACACAGCCCACCCACGAGGGGCTTCGGGAGTGAAGGAGACAGGAGACAAGGGCTGGGAGTGGATGGGGACCCACTGTCTAGACAGCCTGGGCCCTGAGTGTGTGGCTTTCTGGGTCCCCCCCTACTGGGTCTCCTCCCAGATCTTTCATGTGGCCTGGCCCTGTGTCCCAGGGTAGGGCAGCCCAGACCCAGCCTGAGGTTCCTCCTCTGCCCACTCCAGCCCTGTGTGGGACATGCCAACGGCTGGGTATGGCCGTGCAGTGGAGCTGGTTCCTCCCTTCAGGCTCCCCTTGTCCACAGCTCCAGCTAAAGGTTGGCGTCTGCTTCTGCCCCTCCCCCCCCGCCCCTAGCCCAGGCATACTCCTGCTGGAAGAGCCTGGCACTGCCATCTCTGCCAATCAAGTTGTGTGTCACTCTAAGTTGCCTATGGCTGGGCATCGTGCCCAGGATGACGCAGCCAAGGCCTCGCCCAGCCCGAGCGGGCTCCCTGTTATTTCTAAGGGAGCCCTCTGTGTTTCAAAGATGAGGTCCCTTCCACAAGGCTGGATCAGGGAGGCAGGGCAGGGAAAAGGACCCTCTTTGCATACGCCCAGGCTGGCATGTGGCCAGTGAGTTCTCACATACATACAGCAATATACACACGGACACGTTGGTGCCATCTGTCCTGAGTTCACTCCTGCCCCCCACTTGGACTCTCTGATCTATAAACACAAGGAAAGACACAAACACAGAGATACACACGCCCAGAGTCACAAACACATCCGGAGATACATAAACACACTCCAGTTACACAGTCGCAGGGAGACAGCCCATACACCCACGGGCCACCCAGTTTCCAGGGAAACGCACTCCCAAGAATGTCCGGAGTGGGGCCAGGCGGGGCTGGGCTTGCGGCCTTGCTCCAGAGATGAGACAAGGAACCCCTCAGCTCCTGGAGCCCAGGGGAGGGAGTGCGGGGAGAAGAACACTCGCTCCTTTGGGCCCCTGCCTACCCCCGGCCTGGCTGCCAAGCTCCGGGGACAGGGGGCGCGCCTAGACAAGAAGGCTATAGGGACGAGGGACGGGAGGGAGAGAAAGGGAAGGGGGTCTGGGGTCAGGAGACAGTGGGAGGGCACATAATTGGCAGGGTAGGCTTTTGGCTAGAGAAGAATTGGGGGTCATGGGGGTCACAGGAAATGCCTAAGAATCCCATCTGGGCCCAGGCCCTCCCTCGCGGGGAACACTGCTGAGGAGAGGCCAGAGGGCATCAGCTCCTCCACCCTGCTCACAGCTCAGGGGAGCTGCCCTTTCCCACGAACTGCGGGACATGGGCTGGGGTCCGGGCTGGGCTTTCTCTAGCCTTTCAGCCCGGCCCGGCCTCTCCTGGTCTTGGGAAGGGCTCTCTTTGAGACGGAAGAAGGCTACCAGCTACCAGGTGGCATCACAGCCAAAGTCCCACCCAGTCTATGAGAATCCGCCTGCCATCCAGCCAGAGACCTCGAAGCCCCCCATGCACACTCCTGAGGGCCGAAGAAAGGAGGGCAGAGCTGGGCCTCCTGAGCTGTGAAGGGAGGCGCATCTAAGCAGACCCGAAGGGGTGGGAGCAGGAGGAGGAAAATGATGGGGTTTCCCAGCTAGTCAGAGGAAGGAGTCCCCAGAAATGGTTCCGGGACACCAGTCCTCCAGCTCAGAGCCAACCCTACCTCTACCCCCACCCACATCGGCTCTTCTCTCTGATGCCCAGGGTGAACACACCTGGGCCAGCCCCATCCTCACCTGCCTGGTCACCATAGTAACCGGGGCCCAGTTTTCAGAGCTACCTTACAGGACAGAACTCCTATTGCTTTGGGAAACGGGGTGCTGAGCATATTCATGACCCCAAAGCTACTGTCAACAGTTTCTTTTCTTTTTCAATCCTCACCCGAGGACATTTTTTGTTCAGATAGAGTGGGAGGGAGAGAGAGAAACATTGACGTGAAAGGGACACATCGAGTGGCTGCCACCCGCACGACCCAACCAGGGCCGGGGACAAACTGCGACCGAGGTACGTGCCCTGAGCGGGAACCGAACCCAGGTCTCTCCGGACCACAGGCTGACGCTCTGACCGCTGAGCCAAACTGGCCAGGGCAAGGTTCTTAATAAGAGTAGACATGGCGCCCTGGCTGGTTTGGCTCAGCGGTTAGAGCGTCCGCCTGCGGTCTGGAGAGACCCGGGTTCGGTTCCCGCTAAGGGCATGTACCTCGGTTGCAGTTTGTCCCCGGCCCTGGTTGGTCGTGCGGGTGGCAGCCACTCGATGTGTCCCTTTCACATCGATGTTTCCCTCTCTCTTCCTCTCTCTCCCTCCCACTCTGTACAAAAAATGGAAAAATGTCCTCGGATGAGGATTTAAAAAAAAAAAAGCAAAAATAAATAAATAACTTTAAAAAAAAAAAAAAAAAAAAAGAGTAGACATGGCCTCAGCTTTCGCCGGCCCAGTCCTCCCCTCCCCACCTCTGCGGCTTGTCAGACCACAGCTGCCCCTGGCGCCAAGGTTCAAGCCGTCGTCCTGACCGCTGCCCACTGCTATCTCCGCACCGCTCCCCATGCCCTTCAACAGCAGAGCCGGGATCTGTCCTCCCGGTGTTGTCGGGAGGCAGAGGAAGGTGCTCAGAGAAGAAAAGCGGGGTGAAGACCAGTCTGGATGCCCGGGGGTTGGCGTGTTCTGCACGCACATCATGCGCTGGCACACCCTGCCTCCAGTGTGGCCGCGGAGGCCGTTACCCTGGCAACCACCGCAGCTGGTGGGCCCTGCACCTCTCCTCCAGCGTTTCCCCAGGGCTCCCTCTGTCCCGAGGCCCCAGCCTTACCCTGAGTGAGCCGGGTGGGCCGCCGGACAGGGAGCCCGTCCACAGCGCAGGCATTGCCGCAGGGGTAGAGGGTGAGGGTGCCCCGCAGGTTCTCGATGTAGCAGTGCTCCGGAGCCAGGCCGGGGCCCTGCAGCGCGATGTCCTTGGCCGCAGAGCCAATCACAGTCCTCCCTTAAGACAGGAGGGAAACTGAGTCAGCGGGTTTGTCCCGCCGGAGGAGGCAGGAAAAGGCAAGGAGCACCCTGAGGGCATCTCCACCTCCTGCTCCAGCGACGGTCCCTGCCCAGCACCGGCCACCCTGGGCCCTGAGCCTGGTGGAAATCGTGGGTGTGGAGGGTCCGCTGGGGCAGAGAAAACTGACCAAAGTGGGAAGGGGCAGAGGGCACTGTAGGTCCAGGGTAGAGAAGGGGGACTTCCTTTTTTTTTTTATCCTCACCCGAGGACATTTTTCCATTTTTTGTACAGACAGAGTGGGAGGGAGAGAGAGGAAGAGAGAGAGAGAGAAACATCGATGTGAAAGGGACACATCGAGTGGCTGCCACCCGCATGACCAACCAGGGCCGGGGACAAACTGCAACCGAGGTACATGCCCTTAGCGGGAACCGAACCCGGGTCTCTCCGGACCGCAGGCGGGCGCTCTAACCACTGAGCCAAACCGGCCAGGGCAAAAAAAATTTTTTTTTTTGGTACGTGCCCCTAGTGGGAACCGAACCCAGGACTCTCTGGTCCGCAGGCTGACGCTCTAACCACTGAGCCAAACCAACCAGGCCTCCTTTTTTTTTTTCTTTATTGATTTTAGAGAGAGAGGGAAAGAGAGAGACAGAAACATCGATGAGAGAGAACATCGACTGGCCGCCTCCTGCACGCCCCCTACTGGGGATCGGGCCCACAACCTGGCCATGTGCCCTGACAGGGAATCGAACCTGCGACCTCTTGGTGCAGGGTCACGCTCAGCCACTGAGCCACCTCCCCTCAGTCCCTCCAATTCTCCCTCCCTAAGGCCGCTGCCTCCGTCCTCACGCTCCCCCCTTTTCTCCTTCTCTGCCACCTGCAGCCTCCGCCCCCTGGCCCCCCTCACCCCCCTGCAGCAGCGCCCCTCAGGCCCTGCACCGCAGACCCTCCCTGGCAGAGCCCCGGGCCTGGTATCTGCAGAATGCGGGGAATGCAGTGTCGCCTAGGCAACAAGTGGGCCAGGAGAGCAGAGAGCGGAAGCAGCAACGTGGCAGGGCTGCCGGCCACTTCCACCTCTCCCTTCTCCAGGGTCCCTTCGCCGCCCCAGGCATCACCCTCGGCGGCACCCCCTCTTCTCGGCCATGCTGCTGCTAAGAGCGACCTCCTCTCCTGCTTCAGCGCCTCTCTCCTTGTTTCTTAGCTGACCTTTAACCCTAGCCCTGGAGCCAGAGAGTCAACCAAAGAGGAAAAGCCATCTGTACAGAGAGGAGGGAAGTGCACTGGTGAGGTGAGGCGGCCCCGCCCCCCACGTGGGGGAGGACACCCGCCAGCGGATCTCAGAAGGGCCCAGTACAGGCCTGCACCTCAGGGCGGGGATGGCTGCAGACGGAGGGTGGCAGGCGGGTGCCCTTGACTCACCCTCCTCCAGCGGCAGAAGGGTGATAGCCGTGCTCAGTCGCCCACTTCCCAGGCTCACCAGGTGGGGCTTGTCTGTCTGCACCTTGAGCCCTTTGCCGGTCTCGATCAGGTCCAGAGGTCCTTGCTGCAGTCAGGGAGGGTGGGAGGTGAGCATCACGGCAGACCCCAGGCCAGCACCTCCCACCTGGTCACAGCCACTCCGGCACCCCTCCAGCCCCTGCCGGCTCCGAAGGGCTCCGAGGGTGTCCTGAGGCTCAGCACGGACTCTTGCACAGAGTATTATTCCACTGAAGTGTAATGAGATCCGAATCTAGGCCACTAGCTCGTCCCACCAGATTTATCTCAGGTCCTGGCTTAACTGCCCCTTTTGTCTATTAAGACAGGAACAAGGAGAAAGTAAGGGGAGATGGGAGGCCCCGGGTGAGAGGAAGGGGTGCTGGAGAGGAGGGCCCAGCAAGACGTGGCCGTGGCCGTGTCTGCAGCGGTCCGCTTGCCCAGTGCTGTCTCTGCTGGACTAAATCACGAGAGGGCAGAGGCGGGATCAAGGAGAGACATACACCCGAGGGGCCATCTGAAAACCCTCCCTGATTTCCGAAGGGTATTTTCTGGGTAAACCAGTTAACCCGATTCAGATAGAGACTTGGCTGCCAACAGGCTTGGGACCTGGGAAGAGCAGAGAGGAACTGCTCTTACTCCTGGGCTGGGCCATGGGTGACCGAGGCGCCGAACCCGTCCTCACCAGAAGCGCCCTTGCCCCAGGGACCCAACCCAACTCACCTGCACCACTGCGTGGGGCTTGCACCCAGGGCCTGCCAGGTTCCTGCTGCGCGTGTCCATGGTCCCGGTGTCTCGAGCTGCTGGGAACACGGCCGGAGGCAGGTGAGGGGCCAGGCAGGAAAGGGGAAGGAGCGGGCTCTGTGGCAGGGCGCTCAGGGCAGGGCAGCAGCGGGCATCATTCACGCGGCCCTGCCAGTTTCCTGCTTCCGCTGAGGGAAAGCTGAGGTGGCTCAGGAGCTTTCTGGAGAAGGCGGGACCACATCTTCAGCCGCAGAAGGAGCAGCACAGCACCCCAGTCCTGGCCTTGCCGCCGTGACCACAGAGAGCCCTACGGGGCCCAACCCGGGTTTCTGTGCATCTTGCCCCTGACACCCAGCGCCCAGGACATGGCAGCTGAGACCCTCAGACATCTGGAGACAACTGTAAGCAAGGCGGGGAAATCTCCCTCAGGGACAGAAGGTGAATCCAACAAACCCCACTGCAAGGACACAGACACCCGTCACCAGAGGGCGAGCAGGTGGACAGCAGGGCTGAGACAGGAGCTCCCTCCCTTTCTCCTGCTCGGGTCTCTTTTCCCAGGTGCTCAGTAAGATATTTTCTTTTTTTAAATTGTATTTATTGAGTCCAGCCGATGTGGCTCAGTGGTTGAGCGTCGACCCTGCACCAAGAGGTCGCTGGTTCGATTCCCGGTCAGGGCACGTGCCCAGGTTGTGGGCCCGATCCCCAGTGGGGGGCGTGCAGGAGGCGGCCAATCGATGTTCTCTCTCATCGACGTTTTTATCTCTCTCTCCCTCTCACTTCCTCTCTCTCTAAAATCAATAAAGGGGAAAAAATTGTATTTATTGATTTGAGAGAGAGAGAGAGAGACAAAGGGAGAGAGGGAGAGATTTGTTCTCTCATTTACACATTCTTTGGTTGATCCCTGCATGTGCCCTGACCAGGGATCCAACCCGAAACCTTGGCCTATCAGGACGGCGCTCTAACCAACTGAGCTGCCCAGCCAGGACCTCTATCTTTCCTTAAAGGAGACATAAGAAAAGCTCAGCCATTTCTTCCGTGTCTATGTCTCAACTCCTACATCCTGTCTTCTCCAGAAAGCAATCTCGCCCACACACGATCAGAAAAACCCTCAGGGTGACTAATACTGGGAACATAAGACAGTTGGGATCTTAACACTTGACTGGGTGCTGAAGGAAGCCTGGGTCCTTAGACCCACGGGTAAAATAGATCCCAGAGCCTGAACCCCTCCTCGCCCCTCTTTCGCTCTGGCCCACATGTTTGGCACCTGAGAAACATGAAAAAGGACTTCTGCATACTGACGTGTCCCTACATGGCCATCCCTCGAGCCACTTGCTAAGGTGAGAACTTACGTGCCGGTGAAACGTACTGGGGAAAGCCAAGAGTGTGGCTGAAGGCAGGATTTCCCTCCACTTTCTTTCCAGCCACCTACCAGGCGATGGGGATAGGAAGCCGGGCAGGAGCTGGCATTCCAGGGAGGGTCTGAGCCCGGCAGTGAGGCCCAGGGCCGCCCATAGTTACCGATTCGACTCCCCCAGCGTCCACCCTCCCAGGTTTGTGCTGCGTCACCTCGCTCACCATGGGCGCCCAAGCTGGCCGAATAGGGGCCGGGCCAGAACAGTGCCGGGGCCCAGCTGAGTCTGCTGGGAAAGCGGTAGGCACAGGCCATTGTAACTATGCCAAGGCCCAAGCTGGCATGGTATCTGCCCAGGAGACCTGGCGACAGGAAAGATTTTCCAGGGACAGACTGCTGTGCTGCTTCTTGCGACTCAGGGAAATCCCTCAGCGTTCTCTGAGGGAGGGGAGACAGCAGACAGTGGGTTGAGAATGGGGAGCTTAGCCCAGCCAGTGCGGCTCCATGGCTGAGCGTCGACCCTGCACCGGTTCGATTCCCCATCAGAGCACATGCCCAGGTTGTGGGCCTGATCCCCAGTGGGGGTCGTGCAGGGGGCAGCCAATCGATGTTCTCTCTCATCGATGTTTCTATCTCTCTCTCCCTCTCTCTTCCTGTCTCTCTAAAATCAATAAAGGGGGGAAAAAAGATTGTATGGATTTAGTGCTTTTGCCTGGAGTGGAGAGTGACAAATAAATGGGCACAAGAAATCGTTTGACTGACAGGCCTGTTCTAAACTAGATTGTGATGATGGTGGCACAACTCTGTAAGTACACTTAAATTAAGTGGATCTTATGGTACACACGTGATACTTCAAGGAACCCGTTAGCATAAAACATGATGGGAGATTCAGGTTTTCTGCTAAATACACATTGTGCCATGCACAGCACTATAAACATACACATGTAAAAGTTATCACTTGAGCAAGTGATATCACTTGACCTTGGACATGGCACTGCACCACGTGGGCCGCAGTTTCGTGATCTGTCAAACGTGTCACTACCAGCTGCGAGGCAGCTGTGGGTGTGCTCATGTGTCTACACCAAACGGCTTCCAGAGACGAGGACTGTACAGAGAGGAGGTTGAGGGGAACGAGCGGTTAGCGCGGAGGAGAAGGGGACAGGGAGAAAGGAGAGGGGGGACAGGTGTAGGATCCGAGAAGAAAGACAAGAAAAGACGTGCAGATTGGGAGGTGCGAGGCTGTGGCCCGGCTGTGGCCCGGTTCGGAAACCTAACCTGGTGAGGCGGAGACACCAGGACCAAGGCGAGGTCCGGCGGTGCTTTGACAAAGGGGTTAGGAGTCGCCACCTGGGGGCGCCCTGTCCCCGGACCCCACCGCCGGCCAGGCTGGCACAGCCGCTCCGCGGGGCTGGGCTGCCCCTACCGGGGCTGTATGTACCCACCCCGACCGCCTGCGGGCCTTGCCCCGCCCGCCCGCAGCCAAGAACAGCCCCTGGGGGGCCAGCTGAGGCGGAGCGAGGTGCCCGTCCCGCCCCCCGCAGCCCTCCCACGCCGCGGGCGCAGGTGCCCAGGCGCCTCCTCGCGCAGGAAGACAGAGGTCGGGGTGTCTGCAAGTGACCCGCGTGGGGCGAGGCCGGGGCGCCAGCGGGTGGCCCCGTTCCGGCCTGGCCACTCCTTCCTGCCCCGCGGAATCAGCAGCCCCGCCGGGTCCCCGCCGTCCGCCGAGTGGGGCGTCCAGAGTCGCGGCTCGGGAGCCTCGGCACCGAACGAGGGTTGAAGGAGGCCCGGGAAGGGACCAAGAGGCTGGGACCAACAGGTCCTTAAGGTCCAGGCTCCGCACACGGCCAGCCCGGGCCACCGCGGGCCGCCCAGCCTCACCTGCGGCCCGGGGTCGGCCCAGCCTCACCTGCGGCCCGGGGTCCGCCCAGCCTCACCTGCGGCCCGGGGTCCGCCCAGCCTCACCTGCGGCCCGGGGTCCGCCCAGCCTCACCTGCGGCCCGGGTCCGCCCAGCCTCACCTGCGGCCCGGGTCCGCCCAGTGGGCTCTGCCCAGCGGTGGCCCAGACCTGCGGGGAGAGCGGGGCCTCTTGGCCGCCGCCGTCTTCGCCTCCCCAGCGCACATCCCCCCAGGAAAGGCCCCGACAGAGGAAGGGGTCAGGAAAAGAGGGAAACTGAGGCTGGGAGCCCAGGGCCGGGGCCGGAGCGGGTGGGGAGGAGGAGCGGTCTGCGGAGGGCCGGGGCGGCGGGGGAAGAGGGGGTCTGGGGGGGATGGAAGAGGGACACCGAGGGATGAGGACAAACGAGGGCTGGGAAGGAAGGGGGCAGAGCGGTGGGACATGGGGAGAGGGAGGAGATGGGGACTGAGCACCGAGGGGTCCTCGAGGACCCGGGAAGCGGCAGGAGGCACCGAGGGCAGCGAGGGGGTGCGGGGCGGGCCATGGGACTCGAGGGAGAGGAAGACTGGGGGTGCCCGGGGGTCCCCGCGCCAGGAGAGAGGCGCCGGCGCAGCTGGGGTTCGAGTTTTGCTCCGTGGCGGAGGCGGGCGGGAGGAGCGCCCTCTCCCACGGCGGGCCGGGCGGCCAGGTGGGACAAGGCCGCAGTGTTGGCCGGCGCCCCGCCCGCCCTGCCGGGACAAGCAGCCTTTCTTTGGCGGAGCCGGGAGAAGGAGCCGCTTGTTTGCGCCTCGGAAGAAACGACGGCCCGACAGACACCGCCCGCTCCCCGCGGGGCAGCTGCGAGAGGGGCGCTGCGCGTGGGAGGGGCGCTGCGCGTGGGAGGGGCACGCGTGGGAGGGGCTGCGCTGCGGGTGCGCGTGGGAGCGGGAACCGAGGCGGGTGCTGCAGGTGCTCCGCGCAGGCTGCGGGTGCGTGTGGGTGAGGGCTCCGAGGTGTCAGGGCCGACCCGACCTGCGGCGTGTGCGTGGGTGCCGCGGGCGGGGCGCGTCTGCGCGTGGGCACCCGTCTGACGTGGTGGGAAGCTGTGTTTGTGTGTGACCGCGGGTGAGTCAGCCTCCGGAGCGTCCGGCACCGCTGAGCTAACGGGTCCAGAATGCAGCCCCGCCCCGGCGCCCGGGGTCCGGCCGGCCGAGCCCCGCTCCGGCCCCGGCGGAAGCGCCCCCTCCCAGCCAGGCGCCCCCGCCGCCCCGCGTCCCCACCCCGGAGAAACCCGGCGACCTGGCTCAGGCCGCGCCCCAGGGAACTCCGCAGGGGCTCGAATCCGGACGGCGGGCGGGGCCAGGGGCCGGGACTCCCTCTCCCGGCGCCCCGTCCGGCCTCTGGGCGCCGAAGCCCCGGGGCCTCCGAGGCGGCTTTGGGGGTCCCAGAAGTGCCTCCCAGCTCCGGAATACACCCACCAGTGCTCCCGGGTACCCCAGCCTCGGAGCCCCACTCCACATCCCCTCCTGGTCCATCTGGGCGCCCGGCCCGGGACTGGAGAGGCCCCAGGGGACCCCCCTTCCCGGTGTAGGGCTCAGTCCTGCCATCACCCAGAGAGGGGTGGCTGTGGGGCGCAGGCAGAAGGGACCTCGGGGGCGTCGGGCAGTCGGTCCGGGTGCCCGCAGGAGCCCCGCGGGGTGGGCTCGGCGTCCCCGGGGGGAGCGCGAGGGCTCCCTCTGGCGGCGGCGTGGGAGGGCAAACGCACGCGGCTCCAGGGGCGCGGGGACCCACTCCCCACAAAGCCCCTTGCGCCCC